TACAATGGAATTAAAGGCACTGTAGCATCAAGTCCCTTTATTTGGTGATCAGATTGTGAACTTGATTTTTATAGTTTGCTTGGTGCTGGCTAAAATAATGCTGAACTAATAAGTTCAAAATGAATGAAATAGAATTCTTGGATTTTGATACTAGAGACTGGCAAAAAATATGATCATGGTATAAAACATTTATGATATCATAAAAAGTCAGTCGATTTTGGAATTTATTCACTGTAGATTCTCAATTTATTCAGTTAATATCATTTATGTATTACATACTCATGTCATAATGACAAAGTTTCGTTTTACTTTTATATAACCTGTATTACGTTTAATTGACGAAATCAACCACAGTCATCAAGAATAATCATTTCTCCTTTAGATAGTTGTAATCAAGCGTCAAAGGCATTTGATCGATGGTTCATCACGCTTCGTGAAGTGTGTTTTAATTTTCCAAAAGAGCTAGTCCTCTCAAACTTAAAAATATGCCTTAATAACAAGTGGGGACCAGCAGGAAACTCAAATCAAGCAGAATACCTCATCGATCACCTCCAACCATATAAAATCAAAATATCAAATTACTTAAACTGGTGGTCACAATTTAACTTGATATACATAAAGTGATCATTACTAAAGGACTAAATGAACACGACATTAAAACTACTGAATAAATATTCAATGTAAATATTCATGTCCATTAGGATCTCTCCATATTGGATAATAAAGTTCCATAAATAAAATACCCTTTATTTATATTTTATGATCAAATGATGTTCCAATTACTGATAAGATCATTCACATCATAATATTATTTAAAATCTATTTGTTTTCTTTCTTAACTGTAGTCTTTGAGCATCCATAACTATTCTTTAGTTAAAAAAAATAATGACCATTATTCATTTAGTTCCAAACAAGTTATCAAACCTTTTAGATCTTCAATGTAAAGAAGAAAAAAAACGAACACACCTATTCATTCATGTAATGTATATAAACAAATGAGAAAAAAAAACGAATTAATAAGTCAGGAAATCAGTCATCAAAATCTAGAATCGTATTTTGTTATTTACACACTAATCTAAGGATTATATGAATATAAATTAACAGGAAATGTATTTCAACTGGATAATGGATAACAGATAATAATCTGACATATAGTTGCTTAACGGTTGAATGAATTTGAGGGAAAAAAAACTCTATAGTTCAGTCATATAAACAAATGAAATCGTGTGGTGTTTTTGGTGTACTGCTATATACCACTATGAAATGTTGTTTACATTAATTTTTAATCATAAAACAAGTTGGCAACATATGGAAAATTCATTGTATTCTCCTTGAATGAAGGCTTTTTTAATTCTGTCTATCTGCATATTCATGATACTACTAATACAACTAAAACAACAACTACTACTACTAATAATAATAATAGTAATAATAATAGTGCTATTATTCATATAAATGCTAAGAGATATGTGTTGGTTTTAATCTTTCATATCCTAATTAAGAACATGAAATGAATCTTTTTTCGTTTCTTTGGAAATTTGTATACTATCAAAATCTTAAACATTATTTAGAGTCGTTTATTTTGAATAAGAGTTTTAATGAAAGAAATAAACAAACAATAAGAATTTAGAAAGATCCGTTATGGTTGTTAATAGACAAATTAGTGATGTATTTCATTCGTCAGTAAATGAAGTTCATGGGTAATTATATATACAATTTTTAGAAAGAAAAATGTAAAAGACATTGAAAGATTTCAGTGAGCAATCAACTGTGATTACATCTCAGTCCTACAGGAGGTCGGTCTCTGCCCCGATAGCCTAGTGGTAACGTCTCTGACTGTGAAGCTGGGTGACACAGGATCGAATCTGTCAGGGGGCACCGATTCCCACAAGATTACAGATACACCTTGCTGACGAGTGCCAAGTAGCACGAAACCTGGGTCCAGGGTTTCCTGTTGACTACCTCCAACCACCATCTTATCTCAATATAGTGCACGCAATGTTGCGTCACCCAGAATAGTGGCCACATTGCAACTTGGTCGATAGCCTTCGATCTGCACCAAGAAGGACTTAACACACATGACATTGATCACCATCCAGTGATCAATTAATTGTGATTACATTGGAAGATTTCAGTCTACAATATAGTTAACCATATTCTTAAATTGTAGTCTAAATGACTAGATCTTGATATTTTCTTTGAAAATTACCTTGACATATGTAATGCAAAGGAAATTATTTTCTATGTTAAAAGAGAATCCAGCATTTTAATTAGTCGTTTCTGAATTTTTCTTCTATAACTTTTAACAGCTTAGCTAAAATACTGAATTAATAGATGAGTTCTTTGTCATTTCAAGTTTATTCATAGGATATGTCTATAGTTTACATCAAGCTGTGACAAGAATAGTAACTACATAGAAAATAAAAGTGTTTGAATATATTGTCTTTCTGGTAGCTATAAAAAAGTAAATAGTGATCCGGGAAATAGTGTTTGAATTTTATCAAAGAAAATGATGTTAACTACAAACTGCATTATTCCAAAGATCTGTTGGATGATTAAGAATAACCACGAATTGAATGTTTCAGTCATTAATGTCTCTTTTAATATGAAACTACATTCAAAGCTATCTGATGCTTGTACGCTAGATTAAGTTTGTAATAAGTGGTTAGATTTGGTCAGCAGTGGTATCCAGGATATATATTTCGTTCCGATTGGGGCTCATCATCTAGGTGTATATGAATCCCAGATAACATATCCATAGTGGTAGTCTTTCCATTTATTTTGTATCAATTTGTATCATAACGGCGATGTCAAGGCGATCCGAAAAGGGTTCTTATATGCCAACCAACATTGATCAAAATTCAGCCAAAAGTATCAACAACGGGCTAATTTCAGATTCAATTAAATCTCATACCTGTTTTTACAACTAAGTAGTTATCTGGACTCAGTAATCAAGTGGATGATGTGACAGCGCTTAAAGCAAATGGAACTTGGTTTGAGTTGCAGAGTAAACGCCAAGTCTGGGAACAAGCCACATCCAGCAGATGACTTCCAATTAAGACGAAAAGCTTGTCCTGTTTTCTACTGCTAGCACATTCCATCTTTCACCTGTTATTTTATTTTCAGTCTGATAAATTAGTGAGAATTCTACTTAAGCATAGATGGTTTTAGTGATAGTAGTTTCTGTTTTTCCTATCTGGAATATTTAAATTATAGAAGTGGTTAAGAAATACAAACGTTGTATGAATTTTAGTGTTCTTATTAATCAGCAATTTTTGCTAAATAGTAAGTTAGATGTAGTCAAGATGAATTAAAAGCAACTTGTTTCGTTCATCAGGACAATTAAGATGACTTTTATATATCACATAATAAAGAAACGTTGATAGTGCCTTTCTTTAAGATGGTGAAGGGAATTACATACAAGAAATAAATGTTATCTGCACTTTAACAGTAATTTAAGATGAATTATTGTCTTAGATGATTAAGCTAATCCTTGGGGTAGTTAGTGTCTGTCAAATAAACTGATTACTACGACAAATAATATAAGAAATAGTCCTTGCTTATGTAGAAATATCGTCTACCGTTTATCAATGTTTATCGTAATGTTTAGGTACTTTGATTAGTTTTCGGAAATTGAGCCATGGAAAAAAACAGGAATCTTGAACTAAAGAGTATAAATCAGTCATAAAAAACATAGAATCTGACACAAATATTAATAAGTCTTAGTTACTGCGCCACATTGACACATCAAGAAAAAAATATCAAGATGAATACTAAAGTATTAAAATTAATGGTAGTATTAGTATCAGCGATAAGTAAAAATAGTAGACATAGCCGAACTGAGATACATTATCTGATCTTGACTTTTTACTATACAGTAATGTCGATAAGAAAATATAACTTCAATAAATCTAAATATCAATATTATGAATATTGAGAAACGTTAAAGACAAACGAAGTAATTGTCTAACTAAGATCACTTGTTGAAGAGGCAGAAAATTATGCATTAACATTTAAAGTATTCCGTTTTAAAAGTAAACGATATATTTTCGATATTAATTTTAAAAATACCTAACTTATTAAAAAATTTTACTTTCGTTTTTATTATGTATGCATATTGGCCATTATTTTAATGATTTTAAAGCCAAATCATTTTGCCCAGTTTGTTTACATTATCTATTCATATTCAAAATAGTTTGTTTAATTGGATATTTCCACAATTGTTATACAATACGGACTCAAGTGAACAGCCCTACAAATATTACTATACATAAGATGGATGGTGGCTAGCAGTGGAATCCACGATGCGCGTTCCATCCTATTCGGGACTTGTCAACTGGATGTACCTGCATCTCAGAGTTGATGTTCACTTCAGAACTCGAACTCAGTACCACTCGCTCTAAATGCCATCGCGCTATCCACTTAGATATTGAGTCCTGATGGTCACTAGTTTGTGCGATGGGGTCAAAGGCAGAAATAACTGAATATATCATGCAAATCTATATTAATTCGAGTTATCACACTTCACATTGGCCTCTTACGTCTATGTAAGGTTTCACTAAGGATAAACACATATGAGATGAGGTCCTCGAGGTATCTAAAGTTATCAGTGAACTCAACTCCTTCAGTTAAAATCAAACTAGACCTTACATTTGAAAGGTGGTCAGTACATAATAGACATTATCAGTAGAATTTTAGAGAAGACGAAACTCGATTAAAAACTTCACCAAGGAGAATCACTTTATCTGCTTACTCCAAATTAATTAAGCAATTTTTTGAAGATTCAGATGAAAAACGAGTTACTTTTTGTAATATATTTATTAATAAGGACAAATCGAATGAAAACTCATAGTGAATATTACTTAATATGAACAGACTAGATAATAAATCACCGAATGTGCATCAGAACAACTAATCAAATTAGGTAAAGTTTATCGCATTTCAATATTAAGGACAACCCTAGTAAATAAATAATTAATTCAACCAGAACTTTGTTCCACTTATGCACAAGCTGATACAGTGCACATTGTTGCGTTAAGATCCGATTTCGTATAAAGGATTTTGTCTATTGAATAAAGAAAACCATTTGTAAATTGATAAGGTCCATTTAGCGATAATAATTGAATTTTTTCGCCTTGATATGTGAACACACCCTCTGTAAGGAATTAAAATAATGTAAGTTGAAAAAAAACAAAAAAAACATAAGTTGTGAAGCAGCGGTATAAGTAAACAACAAGAGTATTAAAATAATCCATAGAAATAATCATTTTTTGGATGTTCCTATATAAAGGAAATATTAAGGTTATTCATTGCATTTTTAATGGTTTTGTTAATTCTGTATAAAACAATATGTTCGGTAACCCAATCAAAGATTAACAAGCACCCCTTTCATGCTACCGCCAACTGTATTTATAAATTTATATATACCTGCCAAAGCAGATACATTGGCAGAACAGAAAGGAGGGTATATCTTAGATTTTTTGAGTTTGTTCCAAAAAGCCCTAGAACAAGAGGACGAACGACTCTAAACAGTGCAATTACTGGACATCTCTTGGATACAGGACACCAGGTCGATACCTTGTAATCTATCAAGGTGATTACTAAACAGTCAAACTCCAATCTTCTGAGGTTTACTGAAGTCTTTGCTATCAGGCGTCAAAAATCTGATTTATGTGTTCAAGAGAAGATGGTTACTGATATTTCCTTGCAATCGTGACAACTATCCCTTCGTTGCATCTAAAAACTTTTTCTTGCATTTATTACATCATTGGTTTTTTTATTTCGACTGTCTTCTTGATTAGTAATCTTATTTTATTGACTGAGCTTTACTCATTTTATTCTTATCAGCGTTTACTTATTATATAATCATTTGTTCTTAGCCCTTTGGACTTGTTATAATCAGTGTTGTAGAATGTTCTTTTACATAGGGTATTAATTTGCAATATTCGGTCCATTAAATTTATTTACACCCTTGCTATACTATACTAATGTGCCTTCAACGTAACTTCCAACAAAACTCTTCCATGTAAGTAATTTAAACCCATTTCCTAATAATGTTTTAAATATCACAGGTTGTAAACAGCTGACGAGAACCAAACGAAATAAAATGAATTCATGCTATTCTGCTAGAATCTTTGTTCTTGCTCTTTTCAAAATGATAAAGAGATCTATATGTATGAAATGTTGGAACAGTCAGAATCCTGGAATAGCAGATTTTGGGATTATAAAATTTATCAAACACAAGAACATTAAGAAAGTCTTGTAGCTCTATAACATGTCATGTAAATATTTTATTAGAAGACTTTAATCCCAAATTCAACAACTCTTAACCTTCATATATGGATACTAATGAGAAATTTCAACAAATCATCAACCTAACAAAGTGTTCGTCTTGACAATTACAAACTTAACTGTTTCTCCACATGTCCAATAATATTTTATTCCAGCAACCGTAAAGTGTGTTGTACCAAAATCCTTTACGATATCTTAATCTTATAAGCATTGGCTGACACTTCTTATATTGATTAATTGGTAAATTGATAAAGATAGTTTAAGTGTTAACTACTTATTGATATGACCAGCTATTGAACATTCAATTAAATATAAAAGTTGATAAGCTAACCAGTCTGACTCAAAACTGTCAACAATATTAATTCACTTGGTATTGTTTTACTTGAATCTTCCCATTGATGTTTAGGACTGTAATAAATCAGTCTCTTATTGGCATATATGCATACTTCGATATTACCTTAATTTACAAGCATTATAAGCAAAGATGGATAGTGACTAGCAGTGGAATCCAGGACGCTGCACAATCAAGTGGCTATCAGGACTCAGTAGCTAAGTGGATAACGCGATGGCGTTTGAAGCGAACGGTACTGACCTCGAGTCCCAGAGTGAACATCAACTCTGAGATGCAGGTACATCCAGCTGACAAGTCCCGAATAGGATGAAACGCTCGTCCTGGCTTCAATTGCTAGCCACTATCCATCTTTACTTAAAATGTCAGCAATATTATTATCTATGGAAGTATTTGTTATAATCTCTTTTTCTTACGGTTATGACCCAGCTATTCCTATTGCTTAGTATTCTTGGACACCAAATCACTCGACAAGTCCCCAAATCAGAACACGGTTGAACAGGAGATTATATTCCAAATAACAAAGTTAGATGGAAGTAAGATGCAAGTAAGAAGCACAATAGGGAAAACGTCAGTATACTTATAGTTTTTACATGAAAAGATTCTAGAGTATTACCAACTATCGACTAGTGCTGATTGGATAGGAATTAGCCAATCAGTGTGCAGCAAAGCAATCGTGCATTGAGCATGCTTTAATCCAGTCTATGTCCCGCTAACAGTATTGTAAGCCACTACTTGTACAAAAAGCTCTTTTTGAAAACGTTGACAAGATTTATGTTAAATTTATCATGTTTCTTCGTAATTCTTCAATTTCTTACTATTCAACCATTTAATTAATCAGTGAACAAAAGTTTACTTCTAGGTAATATCAGATAAAATTTTAAGGTGTACACGATACTGATCAAATCAAGACTAATGAAAGATTCTTGAGGATTGATGTTAATATACCTAATATTCACAAATGATTCAACGAAATGATTATTATATTTCTCCAATCGTGATCATAATTAATTATTTAAGAACACAATTCAATATGATTAGTATGTAGTTCACCTTCATCAGAATTCTTAGAACTAATGTCCAAACGTAATTGTTCACGTGTGAATGCATAATTTGCTGTAGACACATAATACACTTTACGTATATCCAAATCTTGAATTATCAAGTCAAGCGGAAATGTATTTCGGCGAAACACCTATAAAAAAAATAAAGCATGACTTTATATATATAGAATCTGAAAGAAGTGATTTAGACTGTCAAAAAGCAAAGTTGTTCATTGTTTAACTTGCCCGTATGTATTTCATTACTTTATGATGTAAGTAGTTTACGAAAATAATTTTCATAAACAGATAAAATGATATTTATGTACGTAAGAATATATCAAGTTATTCTAGTATAGTTGAATAGCTACACAATGTAACTTATCTATCCTTTGAGTAGTTGCTTAATTACTAGTAGTGGTTGTTCGTTTAAAAATGATCGATCTTCGTTCTCTGAATGCCATCATGGATCACACCATCTGTAGTTCAGATTTAGTGCTGCTGATCCAACTCTAAAAATGTTGGTGTAGAGTAAACCGATTCAAGTGGCTCTATTGTGTAGTTGCGAAAACTGACTTTAAATCTTTGGAAATTCTCGATATTCAATGATTGCTACCTTTAGAAAACCATTTGTATTTAGTAAGGACATCATGAACATGAAAAGCCATCCCCGTTTATGACTTAGATCACCATTCGGTACTTGTTGCCATTCTGAATTCCTGGCTTTAGTGGTTTTAAGACTTTTTATAAATGTTCCGTTAATGGCCTTCACATTGAGTACTATTTTTGACTCTATTACTGATTAAAATCTAGAAAGATCGTCAGGTTACCACTACAATGTATGAAGGATATTTATGTATGGTAGTTTTCTCCGACCTATTGCAGCTTTATAAATGTGACTGCGGAGAGTATGAAACTCATCGATCGCACACGTCATTATATTTGACTTAGAATGTGAACCAATGCAAAACTTTGCATTTGTTTCTGTTTTGTTCTTCATAAATAGTCGGCTGTACCTCCCTCAATTTGGTTGAATTAATTCCATAGATCACAGATTCTCGTCAGAAATCCAGGACATCCGTTCCAATACACATCGACTCAATGTAATAAAAGTTGAATGTTCATAGTTTGGTAAATTGTCATCTCAGAAAAATTCAAAAATATATCAGTCGTTTGAGTTGGAATCAGTAACTGAGTGGTATATTTATGATGATAAGATTTATAAATTCTGAGTTTGATTCTACGTCTAGGTGTAACTAGTGAGCAATAATAAAAAAAGTATCAAATAAAGACATAGCAGTCATTCACCGATCCTCAGATTAAAATGATCATCCAATGAAGATTATCTTCATATTCATATTGATAAAGACACTTATTTTACTTGCATAAATGTTTAATAACAATAGTATTATTTCCCTACAAAATAAAAAAGCTACTCACAAAATCTTTTCGAAGTTTATCAGTTAACAGTTTTCTCCCCACTTCATTGTCATTATTCATAGAAGTCATAGCTTGATTTGTCGGTACTAGAAATGTATATGGTTCACCAATAGTCATTGACTGAACAAAACCTGTATTGTAATATAAACTAAAATTAAATGATTAAAATTAGATCATAACAATAAATCTTATCAACTACATTAAAATATAATCTTTCAATGTATTAAATGATTTAGTTTAATTAAAGAGTAAATCTTTTTATTAGAAGCATCAAAGATTCCAATGAGCCATAGAAACCTTTTCGATGAAACAACACTGGCGAGACTCTAATTTATGGACGAGCCAATCAGAAGCGTTTTAGAGATTTAAAGCCTTTCATGCATTCAGCTAAATAAACTGGCATTATAGCTGATGTCAGTTCGTGATGAAAATCCCACATATAATTTCTAACTAAGGCAAATTACTACAATTATTGTGAACTGGATAATAAAAGCACCAGTAACACTGGCTGCAGCCAGGTACTACAACAATACGGATGTTTGGAGAGCGTACAGACTCCTACATAGGCTTGGTTATCTGCACCGTGTTGTGATCCACAAGTGGCATTTTGTGTACTCCACAACCGGAGTGCGCACAAACAATATTGAAGTTATGTGGTCGAGGCTGAAAGAGTTTTTGAGACTTTATCATGGCTCCAGAGGTCGACTATTCTGTGGCCATATGGATGATTTCCTCTACTGCATGCATTACGATTTTAGAACCTCTGAACCTCTTTGTAACCTCGAAAAGTTTTTAAACCATGTATAAGAAGTGTATCCACTTTATTCCCTTGGTTTTGCATAACATATTTTTACTCCATACTGACTGTTTACTGATTGGATAATATTTCTAAAGGTCACTCTAGATTAGTTCAAAGGTCGTCCATAAATTAGAGTCTCGCCACAACATTCATTATAACAGTAACTGAAATAACAAAAAATAACTGTAGAAACTAAAGTACATGAAAAACTGAACGGTTCATTATGGAAACCTTTCAAAATGCATCAAATTATTAGATCTATAATATGTTTATAAAATAAGAAGCTAATCACTGTTGAACAATTATTGAAAGATGCAGTTATAGTCTTACCAAACGAATGTTGATTTTTTTTGTTGGCTTTTAATGCAATTAATTGATTAATCAAAAGAACTTACTTAAAATCAGGGATTCTAGCTACATATTGTTGAACTGTTTCATATGGTAAACCTAGAACAGCATCAATAGTATGAATAATACCGTTGGTTGCCACTTGATTAGCATTGATAATACGAGATGCAACATAGCCTTGATTTGGTAATCGAGCTTCAATAAAAGTAGCTGAAAAAAATAATCCACAATATAAAAAGTTGTTTGCTCATTCAATTATTAACTTTCATATAGTTTAATTGACTAAATAACAAATATTATGTTTTTGTAGACCTTCCGTTCTAATTCAACAATAATCTTAATATGTTTTACTGACGAGTATCGATTAGCACGAAACCTAGATTTACAATTTTTTCCATGTGCCATCAATCAACTAACATTATAACATGACTAAAGGTGTACTATTGTCTAAAAGGTTATTTTATATGGATTTTGACAATTAATTTACATCAAATAAAAGCTGTACAGAGGTTAAGTAAAGTATTTGTTGATTATATGTACTGTAGAAATATCAATATAAAATAACAATTCCCAAATACCTGATCTGATAATATTGAATCAACTTGATAGTTATTGTAAAAACAAGAAACAAACTATCTGAATTCATTCATAATATACAAATACTTACTTAATTAGTTGTGACAGTTATAGTCTCTCATAACTTAACATTTTATTAATGAAAGAAATAGAGATTGAAAATAATGTTTACTCAGTAAATTGGATTTCAATGTAAAATTATTCACAATATATAATAAACGGTTAAAGAGAGGTGCTAGTGCATAAAAAACCATGGTATATTTTTCCTAACGTTTTATAAAGTTATTCATTAATTCAAAAGGTAACTTAGAACTATCAGTTCTTTTTTTCTAAATAACATTATATAAAATAGACATGTCACAAAAATATGAAAAATTGAACATAGACGAGAGATTTAATAAATTTCATTATTATTATTATTAGTAGTAGTATTAGTATTAGTATTAGTATTAGTATTAATTAGACACTATGGGACAACTCAATAATTTTCAGTGGTTCTTTAATCAACTCTAAACCATCATGATAAATACTTTTAAATCATCTCAAATCTTCTCAAACCCATCAAACGACTTTCCGACGATTGTTCATCCGGTACAATAAACAAATTTAGAGGTAGAAGCATTCACATTATAATGCTCCCTCACGATTATTCATTTAAGTTTTTTTTCACCTTTTTTTAATTCACTAAACTCAACTTTAAACAGATTATAGAATTATGTGTTACTTTTGAATTGTGAAATAGCCAATAATCAGAAGAGATAGTTCAAATGTTACTGTTGAATGAAACATTGTACTATTAAGTGGAAACAGAATTAAGCAATTGCATGTATTATATTTCATCCGATACACAAGTTGTTTTTAATCTTATAAAGGTTAATTATTTTCGTGTGTATTAAACCTACCAACTCATTGCAATATGATGAAAATGACTTGTAATTTACAAGATTTCATCTAATCAATTTTATATTTTAATTAACCATTTACTTCTCAATGCTTACATATACTTCAACAAGGATTGTGTCGATCTTCCTTTATTAAACTGTCGTGAAACGACTAAAATGTTTTACAAACTTTATAATGAAAAATAAAGTTAAATCTTTTATTTAAATTGTTAAGTCTAGTTATCACAAAGACAGAGAAATAATTGAAAATAACATAAACCGTACTACACTTACACTGATCGATTATTTTAAAGCGGATAGCATCTTCTAACTTTTCAATAGGGATACGACGATTTAATGTCATTTCAGCTTGATATAACTTCATAGGTAAAAATAAATATTTAAGATAAATTGCCTTAAAGGAAAAAATAATGAAAAGGGAAAAATCATTATAAAATTTAATGTTCAATTATTGACTATCTCATAATAATAATAATAATAATATTTCCTAATATAGAAATAAAATATTTAGGTTTATTTACAAGGTTACTAACTTCAAATGATTACATAATAGCAAAGACAATGTAAGTACTTTATTCAAAAAAAGATTTAAGAAATAATATTCTGTAAGTAAATATTGAGTCATTTATTGAACCATGCTTAATGTTGAAAGGAGTTCGAATCAATATTTTATGCACCGCAGAGGCATTGGCAACCCACAAACTCAAGCCTGAACTTTGCGTGCAGAAACGATTTGTCTACCCTCTCATCCTTCTTTGGCCCTAAATCCCTTAATGAGTATGTTTCTGTGTTTTTTTTGTTTTTTCTGCACTTGTATTTAATTATTATCGATATTTTTAAATTACTATTCTGCACTTTAAACTCTAATAATTTATTATTACCTTATACAAGTTTTTTTTTTAATTATCATTCAGTTTATTATTATGACCTTTGTGTTTGTCGCTTTTCTTCTTATTTGTCAATTGAACTATTATCTGACCCATAAACGATTTTCTTCCTTACCCCTTGATTAGTACGTTAACCTCATTTGTTATTTATTCTCGAATCCATTTTGGTGATGCAATTTTTTCTATCCTCCTATAGACATATATTGACTAGTATTTTGTTGATCAAGAAAGTGTTCTGAATAGTGCCAATTAGTCAATCAGTCAGCTATAACGTAGGATCAAGCACATACATGCATCGGTCCAAGTTGCCATACCTCATTAGCACAATAAGATGAACACCAAATTCATAGAAGTAGTTACTTCAATGTTAGTAATGCATAACAAAAGATTGTATATAAGGGTATGATACGGGGAAAAATAATTAGTTCGTAGAAAGTATAAAGTGAGTTTGATCTCATGGTTCAAGGGAAGACAAAGAGTGTATACACTAACGCCATTGTAGTAGATTCTGAGCCATGTCACCAAGAGTCTCCAACCATTGGTTACGACAGTCACACGGGCCCCAACCAAGTAGTCTGCATCTACCAACACGACTCAGGCTAGAAGTTAGTGACTTCAAGCATTGATGGTTTGGCAGCCTCTAACTTTCTTCCAATCATTCCCAACACCAGTCAACATTGCGCGTTGTGGTAACCGGCGTTCAGGCATACGTAACACGTGGCCCAACCATCTCAGTCAATGAAGATTCACAACCTCATCAACTGATTTACCATCATTCCCTAATACCCCGTGTCTAACCTCACTATTACTTACCCGGTGATCCCAGCAGATACAAGCAATATTTCTAAGGCATATGTGGTCAAATACTAGTGGCTTACGAATATCTTCTACTCTTAATGACCACGTTTCGCAGCTGTAAAGTAAAACAGAACGAACTGCCGTGCAGTATATTCGGCCCTTAATTGATAAACGAATATCTCACCTTCTCCATAGGTGACGTAGGTTGGTAAAAGCCAAACGAGCATTTCCAACCCGTGCAGAGATTTCATCAGACACCAACCCATCATGTCTGATCAGACTTCCTAGATAAGTGAAACTGTCAACGCGTTCGACTACTTCACTGCCTATCCTTAGTTCAGGTGTTGACGCAGGCCAGTCCTTAAGCAACAACTTGCATTTAGAGGGAGAGAAGCGCATGTCAAACATTCTAGTACGGGACTCCTCAGAAGTGCACATCCACGATCTCACAAGCAAGATGGACTCCCTGGAGTTCTAGTGGGAAGCCGTGATTAGTGAAGTTCAACCGTGTCTGATGTGAGGCACTTACCAATCGAAGACAATCGAAGATGGTCGCACGATTTTGTGGATTAGTTGAAGTCAGACATCAACACAGTTGGATGTCGGTTCAGCGGTCTAGAGGTTAAGCATTCACCTGCGAGACCGGTGTTTCTGGGTTTGAGTTTCGCGTGCGGGATGTTGGATTAGCACAGCTGAGGAGTCCCATAGTGGGACGAAACGGCCTTCCGGTACTTCCATGTTTCCATTGGTGGTCTACCATTAGTCGACTCATGATCTCAATAAAAATAAATGTTGTCGAACTTCTTAAACTCTTCTCTTCCCAGTCAAGAGTTTGAGTATTTTTGTACTTGATATTTCTTCAATATGATACTCAATATTCGACCCATTTATATCGATCAATAAACTCTTAAATTTTCTACAAGGATAGCTAAACTACTTAATAGTAGTATAACTTTTTAAATTAATAATTACTGGAGTCATTTCATAAGAGTCATGTCTGCACAAATCAAGTTAACAGCACGAAACTTGTTGCCTGTCATTGCTTCAAATAAATAAGATAGTGAAATCCACAAACTTGCTGGACTCATTACTTTATGTTTGTTAATTGAAAGTTTACAAGGGGTGTTGAAGTTCTTAAAATGCATTCTAAAATGTAAGATTTTTCTAAAAATAAAAAAATTTGTAAATTGTATTTGAATGTGAACTTTCAAAAACTCTAAGGAATACAATAAGATACAGTCGTATGTTAAGTTTTTGTCTGTTGCATTAGAAAAATTGTGAATAGTTCACTCAATATCCATTTCGGCATATAAAAAGCATAAGAGCAAATGTGTATATTAGTCTTTAGGAAGATGTATCCACCTTAGTTTTGCAGTTGATAAACGATAACCATAGTTATTAGTTTATGACGTGTTAATAATCATAAAACTGAATAAAAGTAAATATTTCCGGGCAGTTAAACTAATGTTTTAAATCACTTAATTAACTCGTTTCTCAAGTCTAGTATCAATATAACTTATGAAGATTTTAAAACTTTTATCAGTCAATTAACAGGTCTATCTCTTAATTGTTTATTTGCACTGCCTGAATGATTTCTCTGAACAACTCACTATAAATAAAATCTAGTTCTTAGGTAAGAAAGAATGAAAAAAGATAAACAAAATTTTTTGTGTCGAAATTTCAACAAAGATAATAAATCACAATGTATGTTACTAGTAATGATATCCCAATGGGTAGAAAAACTGAATTGTTGACGTCTTGTGACTTGGTGTAAAATGCTTCTTCAAAGAATAAATAACGTCATTAGTAAATACAAGCGTCTTGATGGGTTACTGAGAAACTACTGGTTTTTTGAAATATCATGTGAAAAAAAAGAAATGTATGAACCAGATTGTACTGTTCACTAACAAAAAGACGTTCTGAATATTATAATGATAGAGGATAGAGTCTGCAGGTACTAGATACTATCCGAAATTGGAATTGATGGAGCCCATAGTAAAAGAATTCCATAAACAGGGTTTTTAGTAATCCTTGGATTAGTATTAGTTCGCTATGAAGACCATATATACAAATTAAATTACCTTCTACAAGCCTCTAAATCAATAATGCAATTTCAGAAACACAATCTGTACTAATAGTTACTATACGAAGATAACAATTTTTCAATATTTGTTATAAATGTCCAGTTTCAGTTTCCTGAATATTTGATTAGTTTGTTCTACCATATTTATTGTCTGACAGTCAATCTAGTTTTCTTCTATGTGTAACTAATACCTTCTGATTATATTATCTCAAGTTAAATGCTCCAAATGAGTAAATAATTCAAATAAATTTACCTTTTCACTTGTAGATAATTTATTAAAATTTTGCATGGCTTGTGCATTCGGTGAAAAAATCGTTATATCTGTAGATGATGTTAAGATGTTTTTACAAATTGTATCTGACTGACATGAAGATAACAGATTTCTATATTTAACAAGTGTCAATCAAAAAAAATAAATAAATACAACAAAACAGTAATGAAATGACCGTCGTTAAGCAAATCAGCAGTGAAAACTTTGATAAATCTCTACGACTAGAACGATATTCAGTAGAATATCTAATCTGGTATTCAAATTTATGGACAAGAAATCAAGATACATTTAATGGTTTCCATTCCGAAGTGTTTTCTAAGAAAAAAGAATGTAATTTGATTGAATTATTTAATGTCAGAGGGGGGTTTGTGGAGATTTTAGAAATTTCAACAGTTGGAATCATTAGTCAATTGAAGCTAGAGCACTATGAAAAACCTAGAAGCACTGGATGGTCGTTTTGTCCTAGTATGGGACTCCTCAGCAGTGCGCAAGTGCTTTATTGTTTAGTCAGTTAGTAGATATTTGAAACATTTTAGTTTTAAGTGACGAACTTCTCATTTTTTAAAATGAGTTTGAATCACCTAGACTGAAATTATCACATATTTACGTCATTTTGTACTGGTTGTTTAGTAGTGCTAGCTCATGTTAGTTTTGGTTAACTGTTCATAGGTATTTGCAATGTGTTCCGACATTCATTTTTTCTCTCAGATTTATATTAAGATGATTTTCCATTAAAAGTACAGACTTGGGAATGTTATCAAAAGACTTAAATGAATAATATAAGAATACCAAAATCACTTGACTGTATAGAAACTTACTTGATTTAACTATGTTTAAATATGAGACCGCACTGAATACGAAAACAGACAGCTGGATATTGACTTATTCTTGCATCAAGAGTTAAATATGCTGGTGGTTTTATTGTTTGTCAAATAATACGGGTTCCTTGTAACTTTATACACAATTCTTCCTCAAAAAAGTACGTAATCTCTTAGATTAGCTTTCTTTAATCACTAGAATTCTTGTACTAATACAAACAGACTTTGAGAGACTTAAATAATGACACATACACGAAATTTATTTCACCATTTGTAGAAAGGTGTTGGACTTCCATCCAGTTAATAATATGCAGAGATAATTCCTTCACATTGAAATCATTTATGTACTGTTCCCATTCTATGGTGGCTATCAGTAACAATGTGTTTTAGTTTTTTTCTACTATGCGAAATTAAAGAGTTATAGTTGAGTTATGGTGAAATAGCACACTTCTGTTTAAAATTATCAGGCCATAAATGAATGACATCTTTAGTGGTCGGAAAGACTATTCGCGTGTAGTGTGAAGTTTCTACTGAGGTTCTTGGTATTTATGTGTTTGCTCTAGCGGATGAAAATGTAATATTTAGGTTGTAGAGTTCTCATGAAGTCTAGTCCGGCTAAAGATCTGTATAATGCCAGACTAGCTTAGTGTGAGGTGACTATAATTCATGAAGACTACAAAAAAATCTGTAATATTCCAAGAGCTAATGCTCATCACATCACTATGACTTACAAGGGAATGCAAGGATTTATGAGAATAAAACCAACTGGGTGCAACTCCTGCCGTATGCCCTGTGTGATAGCTCAGGTAAAACTTACTGATCGCTCTCAGTCTTATTTCAACAACTAGTCGTTTGATTTACTTTCCTGTTAAATTGTTGGTAATGATTCGCCAACCATAAAGCTAGCAAGTAACAAGAAATTACAATATTATTTTGCATTAAGAGAGTGAGAAATATCCACTAGAGTACTAACAGATAACCATCGGTATATAACGAAACTCCTTTAAGACTGGATAGTTCTAATGATTGAAATTTAATTTTTCTCAAGATAATCAGTCGAAGGCAGACCTGGTCCTAATTGATACTATGACTCTAGCTTTAACAGCTCATAGTAATGTTACTGTAGATAAAATAAACTCGAATTGCGATCTGAGTAGTCTAGAATTTGTCAGGATCCGACTAGTATTCAGTTTAGTGTCCTGGTCTTGAAGGGTTTAACTATGTTTTCCATAGCTGGGCACCAATGAGTCAACAAGTTTGTCTCGTTGGCCAGTTGGAACGTTTTCACACCCTTTAGACGAGTGTCGGGGTTGAACAGTATCTTTGATTCGAACAAATTTGAGTGCCCTAAGAAAGCGTATGGATCTAAAAATTCTTGCACATGATAAAGAATAGGAAATCAGTTCTATTTTATTGGTTTTCATATTCGAAGTAATGGCTAGAAGGGACAAATGACTGTAAATATATGACAGTATTAGAAGCAAAACCTTGGGATTACGGAGAGACAAACTACTGTAAAACGTTTTGCTGTTATTATACTCATTAATGAAGTTATAATTTGGAAAACTACTAGACTTCATGATAAACTTGGTCGTTAGCACTACCAATTGACAGCCTTTGCTGGTTCTGTAGATGACATCATGAGCCTATCGTAAAGTTCAACTTATCAATTTTATTCCTTACAATAATTCCCAATCTGCAACATCAACCTCATTGACGAAATAATTTTTCTGCTGATTATCTAACATAGTTCTATTTATTCACTTGCTAAATTGACATTCACTACATTTTATCACAAATTCCAGGTGTATATGTGAGTTTTTGACTACAATAGAGGTGGAAACGAGTTTTACTATTTTGAAAAGTATCCATTTCTGAGAGCTTACAGGCCGTTAATTGATTAAATTTAGGTTCTTATTGTACTGATCATACGCTTTAACTATACGTCTCAATGTGAAAACGTAATCCTTTTTACTATATTCATTCAGTTTTTGCTACAAAATAATCTCAGCGAGAACACAAAACCTGGAAACCCTAGAATTGTACATTCATGGTTTCGCATCTGGGGATCAAACCCGGGACCATCAAATTCACTCTCGAATTCTTAACATTAGTCATCTAAGACCAGTTATTGATTTAAGCTATGGAAACTACAATTTCTACAAACCACCCTATACTACATTGAAATTATTAATTATTAACCAACTTACGAATTAATTCTATTCAGAATTTCTTCTCGTGTTTCAAATATAAATGCTAATGGCTTTTGAATGATATGAACGATTGCTTTTTGTATGATGAAACTTTTATCTTCCAATTTTGCTTCAGTATTTCCACTCGATATTATAACTAAATATTTAAACGTAATTCATTAAAAATTCGAGAGTAGGAGTAATATTTAATACAGAATTATTAAAGGAGTTTATGAGAATGATCTAATTAGAATTGTCCCTCTGGGGCTACATCCGAACCCAAGTTCTGATAAAGGAGGGGGGTCAGGCATGGGGTTAGCGACCCCATCCCGTAGAAAATTAACTCACTAAAAAACGCTAACTAGGAAAAATAATTCAAACCATTTAAACTCTGCCCTGGAAGTTAAAAGGTCTTCATTTAGAAGAGTTATGACGCTTCATGGTGAAAGCCGAGTTCCTTAGGAAGGCATGAGGCTGATGCCCCTTCTGATAACCAGATCAACCATTGAATTAATTTAATTTGTTTTCAATAAGAAAATAGTGAGACTACTTAGATGTTCGTATTTCGTATAACGATAAGTTCAAAATTCCTATCATCCCTAATTATTCAAATGAATCTACAATACAAATATACGTTCAACTAAATTTTCTTTATTACATCGAATTTTGAGTATTCTTAAAACAAATGAGTTTTCCTGTTAATGCTGATGTCTTGCACTTAGATTAATTTAAGTTAGAATTCGATATCAAGATCTAACCACAATCTCGTAAATATTTCAGCCATACATTAGATAAGTCATAGATAAAACAGCTCAGTGAAAATATCTATAAATGTAGTACCCGCATTATCAGTTCTCTTAAGATTATGGATATACCTTGATAACGAGTGTCAAATAGTACAAAATCTATATCCAATATTTCCTGATTATTACTGTTAATCATCAAACATCAATTTTGAGTGCATACATTAGTTTCTGTTTTCATAATATAAAATCATTGTATACATCTCATTGTATTACTTAAAACTCAACCAAAACAACTCTTGTTAACTATTCAAAATAAATGAATGTTTGGCTAATTAGTCTATAGTCACAATAATATGTATATCACTTACTTGAATCACCACTACTTTTGTATAGTTGGGCTGGGTTTAATTCACTTAGCTGAATACTAGTTGCAGATTGTGGTCTATTGGGAAAACCAGTATAAATATTCATATTAGGTTTCACTGAAATCCATTCACGATAAATAAGTTGATTTGGACAATAATGATAAGATAAAACCTAGAATAGAAGTGAAGATGAACAGATTGTTAAATGTGGTAGTTTAAAACAATTTTAACCACTAACTAAGATCATTTGGGAAACAATTAGCAGGCAGTTAGTTTAGGCGAAATTCTCACTCTAGTTTGGGATTCCTCAGAGGCAGTCATTCACTATCTCTTAAAATAGATTAGACCAAAAGTTATTAGATCTCACATGGAGTATGCTACCGATTCTCCACTAAGTTAGAACCTAATGGTTTTTACTTTTACTTCACTCATGTTGTTATTAACATGTTCCTTGAGAAATCCAGGCAGTGAATTTTAGCCTCAAGTTTAACTGTTTTGACTCCATAGACCAAATATTTCATTAGATCTTCTTAAAATACATCTTGGAAAAGGCTACCGGCGAGTAAAAGGTCATAATTTACTTTTTATTGTCAGTAGAGGGTTGTGGAGATTATTAAGTTTTGATTGATGTTAGACCACCATAGAAAGCCTGGGAGCACTGGACGGTCGTTTCGACCTATTGTGGGACTCCTCAGCAGTACGCATCCAAGAACCCACTCACGGGATTCGAACCCAGGGCCTTCGGTCTCGCACGCGAACGCTTAACCTATAGACCACCGAGCCGATATCCAACGGTGTTAATGTATAACGTCGATCAGTCTACGAAATCGCACGACCATCTCTTGTACTGAGGTAGATACCTGTCTCTGCCCGACACGGATTAACTCCACTGGTCACGGCTTCTCACTAGAACTCCGAAAATTCCCTCATGAAGCTAGTCACTAGTGAGCACATGGTCATAATCAGTATAGGGTTGTGGAGATTTTTAAGTTTTTGATTGAGATCATGAATCGATTGATGTTAGACCACCATTGAAAACTGGATTCAACTTGTAAGATCACGATTGAGATATACCATTAATTACTAAATTAGGATAGAATGATTTACAAATACAAATACAAATTTACACTTTTCATTTTAGTACATATGAACTAAGCCACTTACAGAAGCTAGTAAAGTGATATTTTTTCTTAATCTGTTCAGTTGAATAATTGGTAATGAGCTCCAACCAGAATCATTAACAACAAATATAGTTGAATAGATATGTTGCGCTGGATATGGTGCATATTTAGGTTCTTGCAATAATAAGTACCATAATTCTTTGATATACTGTTATGGAAATATTGAAAGTGAAAATCTTAATGTGTTTAACTTGTTTAAAAATCAATATCAGTATATAATGTAGAAATATAAAAATTTTGTTATCAGAATGGGTTTTGTGGAGAGTTTTAGAAAGTTTACAGGTTGAAATCATGAGTCAATTGAAGCTAGACCACCATGGAAAACCTGAAAGCACTGGACTGCCGTTTCGTCCTAGTATGGGACTCCTCAGCAGTGCTCATCCACGATCCCGTACCCCGCGGGATTCGATCCCAGGACTACTGGTTTATTATTATATATCAAAGACTGTATTTATTTAATGAAATATTCTAAACAAAGTAGCAGTGAACAGTTAGTTCATTTTACTATAGGACTCCTCATCAATAGACCGTTTACTGATTTTGTTCACATGGAGTCTATGATTTTTCAGTCAAATTATGTAATGATGAATATTTTCATTATTATATCAAGTATAGATAGTTTTACACAATTTTGCAGTACATGAATTAACAATGCAGTATGTAAAAAATCCATGTCATAATCATGTTTAATTTTGCATAGAAGATATTTTAATTCAAAATCTTTGCTTTTAGATGAATATAAGAAAACTAATGCGGTGTAAGTTCAACTTATAAGTGAGTTCCATTGTAACGTATACAGATTTAATATTCGATCAAAACGTACTCTCTACAAAGATCTTAATTTTAAAATGATTTCAATGGACTGTCATAGATTTTATTTCAATAAAAGGGACAACCAACTGATTCCAATAAATGAGGAATGTTTAAATCTTTTCTGGTACTTGTCACATTTCAGTAATATCCATGTATATGGATAAAAACTCTAAAATTATAATCCATTATTATATACTAATGTATTTTAACAATGTAGGAAAATTGTAAAAATCTGCTGAATATCATAAGTATAATGAAAAAAAAAATCGACATTAAATTACTTTTATTTCAGAAAAGTTAACCTGCCTTATAAATTTTGAAAATGTAATAACAAGACAAATTTGATGTTGTAACATGTATGACGTACATGAATTCAACCAGGTACTCGAGTGAAACGAGTTCGATAGGAGGTTTGTTGACTGGCCAAATCGACGTGTAGGTGAACGCATTCTTATGTATATATACATATATCCCTTAGAAAATTAGGCCACCAATGGTATGTCTCACGTCAGATCATTTGGCTGATCTCTTATTGATGTGAAAAAGTGTGATATATCTGTTTAATACATTTTAATCCATTCAACTTGATAACTTGTCAAACCCTATAAACCTTTCATATAAACTTCGAATTCTCACAAGACTTCCAAAATCAAATCTTAATTTAGTCGTGACTGGTGGTTAACATGTACTGTAACAACCGCATCGAAAAATAAAACGTCAAAAATATCCTAACAGATCTTCTAAATTGAGCTATCACCGTCAATAATTCTGAAGTTAACTAATCGACTATACATGATTAACATATAGAATAATGTGAACAGCAAGTTTCAGTCCAAAAGGTTATGTAAAATAAACTGGTGTAGAAGTTTTGAGTTGACATCTTAGTTGGGCGATGTGGCGGAAAAACAATCACATCAATAGTTAAATTAGTCGTAAACATATTCTAGCATAAAAGCAAGTAGATAATGTAATCACTGTTAGATATATGTTCGGTTCCCGTGTTTCTTCTGTTTACTAGCAAAAATAGGAATAAAGACTGCATTACTGATCATCCTTTTGGTAAGATCAGAGACAGAAATGAAATACTAGATTAACATAGTATTTTAATCAATAGATAATCCATACATCTTGCTTAGTTGTTTTTTGCAGTAATAAGTTAAATTTGAAGACATTTTTCATCAACAGTCATCAGTCAGGGAATTATTAAAAGTCATATAACATTTGACAACTGTCTCATTTTAGTTTGAACAGTTTTGTAGCTCACATCTGCGACCCCTATAAAATAATGAACTTATAAACTTCAAGTATAACAGAAAACTCTGGATTCTTAGACAAATCAGTTTAAATTCAACAGTTCACACGCTCAAGGAAATCTGATTTGTGAATAATTAGCTAAATGGAAACAAATGAATCCAAAAGATTTATTTGAAAAATATATAAGCTTCAACAGGCCAGTGTAGTTATCTCAACCAAATACATTACTTACCCTAAATTTCCTTGTTTTTGTAAAAATTCCATAAATGGTGATGAAATATATGGTGTATATAATACTTGATTTACTATTTGTATTATTCCGTTTGAAGCCATAACATCTGGTGTCACAATTTTTGCATTATTTACAAAATATAAAGATGTAGAATCTGCCTGAAAATTACCAAAGAAGATTAATTAATTTTAGACAATACCTCTGGATAATCTCATCACAGATATGTAAAAAATTAGCTGGATTTAATCGTCATTGTCTGTTACAGACATATCTAATCTAGCTGAGCCCAACATGCCGGATGAGTAGTACAAAATGTTATAACATCCAGTTAATTATGTTATCAAAATTGCAGTCTAATAGGCAGCAATATTTCGAAATTTATTGGGCGGATGAACGTAATACCTATTGTCGTTGTTAGTTGTCTTTCAAATGTTATATACATTTGAGATTGTTCAAAATAAAGGTTGACAAGAAACTCATAACTTGCTGTGACCATAAAAATACTATTAATGCGAAATGAGATCAGGAAAACACAATCACTTCAGACAATCTTCGGTAGACTTCATAAAAATGTAGTAAGAAAATAGGTGAAAAGTGTTATTTTATTTTCATGTAGTGATACACCAATGCAAATGTACAGGAAAACACAAATCTTCCACAGAGTTACAATAGCTTGAATTTTAGTCACTCGATTTGTGTATGGGCTGTGATACTGCCAGGGCACCCAGACTGCGCAAGTGGTTTTCTTAGGGGGCCATACCCAGAACCTTCGACCTGAAGGTCTGATCCACAAGGTAGTGGAGCAACGTAAGGAGATGTAGTCTCATGGTAGCCAGTGACTAACAATTTGTTCCCTCCAGATCCTCGATCCTAGGTGCATCACCGGTTTTAAATCAGGGTTTTCCGACCCCCCTAGGTGGGTCCTCCATATCCACCAACCCGGTTAAAGCACTGGACATCCGCTTTTCGTCGTCTCATCTTCGTAAACAACACCCTCACCACGAGAAGGCAGTGAGTAGGAATTCGCTGGCAGTGGCTGTATACACGTGGCCATGTAAGAACATTTCGAGAGAGAGTTAGCTCTCCCCACTCTCGACCGTACCAGGGCATTTGTGTGACGCGTATTTATTCAGCGACCCTTTGTATCAGTATTTATGTGTTCAGATAAACAAACAAGTAAATAAGCTTGAATTTTAAAATTACTTTGTAAAACAGAAAGCCATTAAACTGAATTATATCAAGTGACGAGATAACTTTTTCAATACATTTTGATTCCTCAGTACTTTATGCATCACTGTGCCATAAGAAAATCAGCGAGCAACACCTAGTCTGTCTCAGATTTTAGAGAATATATTACTCAACCTCTCTATATTTTTCCGAAACCTAAAATTACAATGCAAGGATGATTACCAAGAATAAATAGTTCAAATAGATCATTCAGTGACTCACCTCGGTGAATCGAAATATTAGATAAAGAAATTTCTACCAAGGTTTGAATTTCCGGTTCAGTCAACAACACATGTGACATTTGACCATAACACTTGTTGGGTAACTTTAAGTATTTATATCAGGTGAATTAAGTTCCTGCTGTTAATGGGATAAACCAACTTTATTCCTGTAATTATCATGAGTATTTTACTGAATCCTTAAAAATCACTGGGTTCATGTTGTGGTTAGATCACTAAAATCGTTTGTGTACACTAACAGAAATGCTTGATGAATAAAATCTGTAAACTCACTATAGTTGAAAACCCGAATTGTTGTTTAGCAAATAATGTTGTATATTCAACACCTGTACCAAATCCAATATCGATGAAGTTCATTTGTTGACCTAATTTTGTCCATTCTCTTGTTGTCACACGTACAGATGACTGACCAGTAGTAATCCCTCCTATATTAAAGGAAGAAATGATAAATAAATTTTAATCCGTCTATTCACGAATATATTAAGCTAGGAAATTACTATTACGAATGCTATAAACATTGGTTCTTTTTCGAAACTGTTATTAATATTGCGAATAATTTTCGTTATTATATTGAGAAAAGGTTTTCAAATACTTTATTGGAAAAGGATCAGATATAAATGTCATGAGTCATGATGAAATACTAAGTGGATTTACAAAGATAAAGATAATTCAGAGTTGTTAAACGAATAAAAGCCTACATTCTCGTGACCAAGGATTTAACTAAGGCTTAAGAATACTAAAAGACCGATAGAGTTCATTAATGCGATGGTATGTTTTTTTACGAGGAGCTTAACCCACGAACCAGTTAAAATTTACTTCCCTTTGTTAGAGTCGTAAACGACGGTGAGACTATAATTTATGGACAATCTTTGAGTGACGCTGAACTGACCCTGGAAGTGTCCACCTAATAACCAGGATCAAATGAGGGTTATAAACCCGTGAAAGGAGTTAGAATTACGATTTACAGTTGATGATTAAGGTTAGAAATTAAATTTAGGGTTTTCTTCACGAATTCATATCACCTATAATGCTAAAACTCTATTTATCCAAATGGATGAGTGAATTTCGCGCCAAAATCCAAGACCTATTATCCTAAATCTGATTGGTTCGTCCATAAATTACAGTCTCGCCTAAATGACTTAAATTTATCAATAAACCATAAGATTCTAAACAAATCATATAGAATGATCAGGACGAGTTAGAAGCTAAGTAAACAGTAATCATAATCTAAAACACTAGATGGTTTAAGTTTATACCCAGATACATCGTCTGTGATAATCACAGGATAGGACAACACTGACTATCAACAAGGTGCTTTTCCATTTGCCTACAAGTGTAAAGAGTAAGAAAGGAATTTTACAGGCATGACCGTTTTAATTAGTTAAATGTTTCGAAAAATTTACATCTAGAGAAACCAAATAACAATAATGGTTATATTGTAGATATTGTAGAGATGTATTAATAATAAGAAATGAGTAGAATCATTCAAATGTACTGAAATTTTCACAGATTAACTTACATAAAACGTTATAAACTTCATTTTTGTATCCATAGATGGATACTGATTATACAGTTACATCCTATGATAACTTATTTTCCATGATGTTGAATACGGTATTCTCTTTCGAAAGATTCGACCTGATTTTTACTTTATTGTATTTTTTTTCAATAGCTATTTATTAGTACCCTTGAGTTGGAACCTCGTTTTTCAATAAGACTCTAAGCTTCTATGTATTTACGTCTGTCGTTTAAAAATGTGCAGTGCACATGTATAGATAAAGAAAAATAGAATATGGATAAGAAATACCCAAACAAAGTATTCGTTTCTTTTTATTTATTTAAACATACTCTGAATTATATGACCATGTATAAATGAATGTTTTTGATAATCGTCTAAACTATACCATGCTAAATCATTAGCCATATGATCAATTGCATCGTTTGTAGGTAAAATTATTGTCAAACATTCATCATCACCAAAACAACCAGGTTTTTCGAGCAAATTCTGAAGTCCCATTTCTTGAATAAAATCTGCAAACTAGGGTGAAATAAAGGACAAAAAGTCGAATTTACAAGTTACTTTTATTAAAAAAAACGTAAGTCGTATAGTATACTTTATATAATCCTTAAAAAAAACAGGTTTACGTTGATACGTTTCATAGAAATGTCATGATATTGAATTCATAAATTTTATGTGAGGTTACTGGATCATCAGCATTTCATGATTATTCATACCAATGATTTAGTTTTAAACGATCCTGTTATATCCATAAGATTAAACAAGCAACTAAGAATTTCAAATCCCAATAGAAATGATTACCAATTTGTAACTAGTTTTGAACCTAACCAACTTAAAAAAAAGAAGTTTGTGAATATAATTGAAGAAACATTGATATCGTCTGATAAAAGAAAAGATTGAATATGCATGTCAGTATATAGTCATAATGAATAAAAACATGAAAATAAATCATTAATCCAGTTTGTGTTTCTTATAAAATATGCCAGTGAAAGTGTTCAGAATATTAACACATAAAATTGTATTATATTTATCTATATACATTAGGCGCAAATAATCTCCATAATCATCAGTATAGGGTTATGGAACTCGTTAGTTGTCTGACTGAAATTGATTCGTAATCTCAATAAAAATTTTTTTATAATGTTCACGAAAGAAAAGAGCTATAGTTACTGGGTAGTATTAGAAATAAGTTTTATTTTGATTGCATTAAAACTGTATGTATACTATCATATACTCCAAAATATTAGGAAAAAAATGAGTTGCATACAAAAGTATCATTAGTCACCTGACTATTCTATCATAACTAGATAAATGCGACATTTGAGATATTTAGTATAAAAATTGTATAGGATTACAAAGATTGGTTGAATTTAGACATTAACACCGTTGGATGTCGGCTCAGTGGTCTAATGGTTAAGTGCTCGCGCGCGAAGCTAGCAGGTCCTGAGTTCGAGCCCCGCGTGGTGCGGGATCGTGGATGCGCACTGCTGAGGAGTCCCATACTAGGACGAAACGGCCGTCCAGTGCTCCTAGGTTTTTCATAGTGCTCTAGCTTCAACTGACTCATGATTTCAATCTGTGAAAATGACTTAATAATTCATCACCACGTTTCAGAAGAGTCAATTTGGCTTTGATATATATTCAGTCTAGTTTTGTTGTAATACATAGAAGCAATTGAATTTTTGAAAAGTAATGGGCATAAGTATTAGATGATACATTATGTATAATGGGATAGATCGTAAGTTTATAACGTTATATAAAATTGAACATCAATAGTTCACTGTAGATAAAACAAATCAATAAATACATTATAAATATTTACTTTGGAAGCGATCACTTGACAAATTGATCTCATCCGAACTACAAGCAAAGACTACGTAGTACTGGACATTTTGGTTTATCTTGTTACCATCCAATATAATAGCTTTCAAACCAAGCAATCAATAAGTACTGTTGTGTTAAGAAACAATAAAGTTTTGAGTTTGAAAACTATCTCAGTCTAAGATCTATCATGTTAACTTCTTCAAACATTTGATTAAGGATGTAATTCTTTAACATCTTATTCAACCGTTTGGTTAGAATTACATCTTTTAGGCTTTAAATCTAACTGTACATTTCTATGATGGTCTTATACTATTTACAGCAATCTAATATAAATGTCAATAGTTGAAATCATGAGTCAGTTGAAGCTAGACCACTATGGAAAACCTGGAAGCACTGGAGGAGTCCCATACTAGGACGAAACGACCGTCCAGTGCTCCTAGGTTTTTCATAGTGCTCTAGCTTCAACTGACTCATGATTTCAATCTGTGAAAATGACTTAATAATTCATCACCACGTTTCAGAAGAGTCAATTTGGCTTTGATATATATTCAGTCTAGTTTTGTTGTAATACATAGAAGCAATTGAATTTTTGAAAAGTAATGGGCATAAGTATTAGATGATACATTATGTATAATGGGATAGATCGTAAGTTTATAACGTTATATAAAATTGAACATCAATAGTTCACTGTAGATAAAACAAATCAATAAATACATTATAAATATTTACTTTGGAAGCGATCACTTGACAAATTGATCTCATCCGAACTACAAGCAAAGACTACGTAGTACTGGACATTTTGGTTTATCTTGTTACCATCCAATATAATAGCTTTCAAACCAAGCAATCAATAAGTACTGTTGTGTTAAGAAACAATAAAGTTTTGAGTTTGAAAACTATCTCAGTCTAAGATCTATCATGTTAACTTCTTCAAACATTTGATTAAGGATGTAATTCTTTAACATCTTATTCAACCGTTTGGTTAGAATTACATCTTTTAGGCTTTAAATCTAACTGTACATTTCTATGATGGTCTTATACTATTTACAGCAATCTAATATAAATGTCAATAGTTGAAATCATGAGTCAGTTGAAGCTAGACCACTATGGAAAACCTGGAAGCACTGGAGGAGTCCCATACTAGGACGAAACGACCGTCCAGTGCTTCTAGGTTTTTCATAGTGGTCTAACTTCAATTGGCTGATGAGTTCAACTATTGAAATTTCTAAAATCTCCACAAAACCCCTTCTGAGAATCTAATATAACTTGTATCCTATAAATGAACAAATTAGAGTAAGGTTATCATATCAATAATGATTATCAATAAAAAACTCACTTTAGTTGCATTTGGATATGAAGTTATAACTTGCCATAAATTATTATCATTAATACTTTGTGTTTCTATTAGTAGTAAGGACAAGTATATAAAGTATATGAGAGAGAAGTAGTTTATCAACATTTTATCCATAAAATCCGTTGATATTTTCATTTTTCAAATGTTAAGTAATACAATATTGTTGATAAGATGAAATTATATACACACATTTTAAGGGTGACATCAAATGCATTTCAGACACTTTATATATTCATCTAAACAGCTGAAAATCAATCATTGAAAACTGGCGAACTATACTATTTCATATGAAGAATTGTGATATGTATATATAATGTTTATTTGTTTATATGAATTGTCTGACCATTATTTAGTTATTTCAGTGTAAACGATGTTTACCCAGCTCGAGATCAAACGCACAATTTTATGTAAATTGTTAGCATAATCATATGAAGGGTGAAAATAAGGTGAATGAGATATATACACTTAAACAGTGATTCATACATAGAAATACGAATCACAAGTATACACCATTGTGAACTATGGACGAATGAGGATAAACGTTATATTTCAACACTAGTTTGACATATATCAGTTGTGTCATGATTTAGGTTTAATCATAGAATTATCTGAAAATATTTCATGCTATACAGTAATCAGTTTAATGAATATAAATGTTTTCGTGTTGACTACTTCAAGAGCCAATTTCAAATCAAATTTCAGACTCTTGAACACAACATCTCGCATTGAAAATACTGTTTTTGACTTAAAACGTTGTAGTTTGTTGTGAATATTCGAAATTTCACTTGATGAGCATCTTTTTTAAAAACCTGAAACATATCACCAGATTTATTTAGATTATAATCATAATGAATTCTCATTATAAATTGTGTGACTTAGTAACCCTTGACCATTTGAACCACGTTTTCATTCTAAGTAGCTAATCGTTTATAAAGAAACATTGTACACATAACTATAAGATTGAACTGTGATACTCAAAACTAGGAAGTTAGTCAAATGTATTTAATATTAAAAAAACTTCTGTAACGGTTTATTTCAGTTTAAATTTCTTAATAACAATTGACAAGATGAGGTTAAACAAACATAAAACTTCTTTACGTAGAGAGATTCAAAACACATTATTTAGGTGACTAAGTAAGCAATCTTTTAAGGACAGTAGCACACTGAGATGTAAAAATTGAGGATATTTATATTTTAGCCTGAAGTATTTAAATTTCTTAGCTTTACAATTAATAAGCTACTGGTTAGAAAATAATAATAAGTACTTATTTAGTCATTCAGTGCAAAACTGACTATAAAACTCAAGTAACTTATTCAGTAACATAAGTGATAGAGAACTTTCTAAATAAGATGTGTTAAATGAATGATACATGGCATAACTGACTACAGAACATACCATCAAACTATTAAGTGTTCAGTGTTTAATTTTCTCGCGTTATTGTCCAATAATCTATGGAGACAATTAACCTACATTTGGATAAAAAAACTATATTCTGTGACATTACTATTAAACACCAGCATCATAGATGAACACGGTGGTTCTGATGCAGATGTGAAGGCGTGGATCGGCAAAGAAAGAGCAGCATATTTACAACTGAAGAATATCTGCAACTCAAAGCAACTGTCAACCAACACAAAGGTCAGAATTTCCAATACAAATGTCAAGATAGTTCTACTAGTCGGGGCGGAAACTTGCAGAACCACTAAAGCCATCATCAAGAAGATACAAGTGTTTATTAACAATGTCTACGCAAAATACTTCGCATCCGTTGACCAGACACTATCAGCGACAACCTAATATGGGAGAGAACAAACCAGATTTCAACAGAGGAAGAAATCAGGAAGAAGTGCTGGAAGTGGATAGGACACACATTGAGGAAATCACGGAACTGCGTCACAAGGCAAGCTCGAACTTGGAATCCTCAAGGTCAAAGGAGGAGAGTTGGACCAAAGAACATATTACACCGAGAAATGGAGACAGACATGAGAAGAATGAACAAGAATTGGGAGGAACTAGAAATAAAGGTGCAGGATAGAGTGGGTTGGCGAATGCTGGTCGTTGGCCTATGATCCATTGGGAGTAACAGGCGTAAGTAAGTAAAGTAAGTAACTATTAGACACGAGACATTATTATACCTTTAGTCCATGATTAAAAAGAAGTTAAACTGGATATGTGAAATTTGTTTTAAAAGCCCATAGTTCCTAAGATAGAAACATAGAACAAATATTCCATTGTAGAAATATCTGCAATTTGAAATTTGGTATCAATAATATATCTTAACGTTATCTCTCATTATTTATATCGATTATTTTTATTGATACTTGAATTTGGTACTGTATTTAATATTTCCCATATCCTAATCAGTTTATCTAATTGGTACTGAATAGATTATGTAGGTTGATAAAGAAATATGGTCTATAAATGTTAACGCAAAGTAATCAGTATTTCCTATTTTTCACTGATTATCAGTAAAATATATTTCAATAACTAATAACTATTTGTCATCTCTATGCTTTATGTATATAGATTTTTCATAATACATTTACTTTGAATGTATCAAGGTTAAACGCTGTGTCAATTATTTGTAAGGGTTTATATTTTTCCCACTGGTGATCTTAAGGACTACAATCGACCATTCCGTGTTTTAATCTGAGTAGTATTAATCTCCCCATTAGGATGTAGGCATATCCAGCTAACGAGTTCGATATAGGGAGAGGCACGCATTCTGGATTGCACTGCTAATTCTAGGGAAAAAATAGTGTATCTATTATTCTTGTTAACAAATAAACCGATCTCTGCAACTAAAAAATTCGTTTTACTTGTATATCAAGTATTTGTAGGTTCCATTTAAGTTAGATAATTTAAATTAATAGTAATTTCGACACCATAATGTTAATACTATGCAACATTTCCATATCAATGAATACAATTTTCAGTTAACTGATTCGCCTAGTAACGTAAATAGTAAACAATCATTCCTGGTTAAATAATAGAATACTGTTAATAATTATTCCCTTCAAAGAGTTCTTATTGTTGTAATTCACTGTGGAAATAATTATTTCTGAAAATGAATTAAAAACAATGCAGAATAAAATTGGAGTTCTTGATTCATATAAATATCATGACTGAAATGTTAGTGTTATTTTTATTTAATTTGTAATGTTTTAGGTTATCTCGTTATTTATATTTTCATTGAACATTTAATCAGTCTTAGTCGGTATATATGCATCTTGTACGGATAGCTGATGAGTTTAGAATAGGAAAAAACGCGCGTTCTGGATTTCATTATTAACCACACTTAATCTTGCGGCAATAGGTAATAGCAGACAATTGTTCAGACTCGTTAAGGAAACCGGTATTAGGAACCCGACTGTTAGCGAAACAATCTCAGAGAAAGATGGACATATTATACATTCTCAATCCAGGAGATTGGATCGATGGGCAGAACACTTTAGGGATCAGTTCAACTGGCCTTCAGCCACACTTCGGTTTCCCACGATCTCCAGTCAACCTGAATGGCAAGTTAATGTAGGTCCTCCGTCCCTTTACGAAGTTGAAAAAGCCATAGGAAATCTGAAACGAGGGAGAGCAGCAGGCCCTGACAGGTTTACTCCTGAGATTTTTAAGGATGGTGGTCCAGTATTAGCAGTGAGATTAACTGAGGTCTTAGGTAGAATTTGGGAACTGGACGTAATCCCATCTGACTGGTCTCAATCACTGATTGTGCCAGTCTATAAGAAAGGACAAAAGTCCTCTTGTGACAATCACAGAGGAATCAGTTTGACAAATATAGTGTCTAAAATATTAGCTTCAATAATACTTCGACGCCTAACTAAAGCTCGTGAAGAACAGACTAGAGAAAACCAGGGTGGTTTTCGACCTGGACGTGGTTGTATAGATCAGATATTCACACTACGTCAGGTTCTAGAACATAGACACACATTCAGACGCCCCACAATCATAGTATATCTCGACATTAAGCCAGCATTCGACTCTGTTGATCGTGAGGTTCTATGGCAGTGTTTGTCACTGAAAGGAGTACCAAAGAAGTACATTAACCTTGTAAAGGCTTTCTACTCGAACACAACTGGTCGAGTGAGAGCTTATGGTGAACTGTCATCAGAATTGATTACCTCAAGTGGTGTTCGTCAGGGCTGTCCATTCTTGTTCAACTTTGTCGTTGACGTACTTTTAGAGATAACACTTTCCTCATCTAAATTTCCAGGGGTTGAACTTCTACCAGGAGATTCACTTGTTGACTTGGAATGTGCCGATGACATAGTTCTATTTGGTGAAGACGCTGACAAAATGCAGAGTCTTCTGACCACTCTAATCAACCATGCAAGCATGTTCGGGATGCGATTCTCTCCTTCGAAATGCAAAATGTTACTTCAGGATTGGGTTGCATCGAAACCCGTACTAATGACAGGGAGTGAAGTAGTTGAGTGTGTCGACGGCTTCACTTATCTTGGAAGTCTCATCAGCCCTTGTGGTCTGGTGTGTGACGAAATCTCATCACGGATACAGAAGGCTCGACCAGCTTTTGCCAACTTGCGTCATTTATGGCGTAGGCGACATATCCGTCTACCAACCAAAGAACGGGTTTACTGCGCAGCACGTCATTCCGTCCTACTTTATGGAAGTGAAACATGGCCGGTAAGAGAAGAGGATATTCGTAGGTTACTAGTATTCGATCATAGGTGTCTTCGAAACATTGCTCTTATATCCTGGGACCATCGAGTAAGTAACGCAGTTGTTAGGAAACGGGTACTATATAAGGATGGCAAATCAATTGATGAAGTGGTGAAACTTCATCAGTTGAGATGGCTGGGACATGTGTTACGTATGCCCAACCACCGACTGCCTCGACGTGCGATGTTTTATGGTGTAGGAGTAGGTTGGAAGAAAGGTAGGGGCGGCCAGACCAAAACATGGCACAAGTCCATGAAGTCACTGACAAGTGGACTGAGCCATGTTGGTAGGTGTAGACTACGTGGTTGGGGTCCGTGAGATGATAGCAACCGATGGTTAGAGACCCTGAATGACATGGCTCGAAATCGTTTGCAATGGCGCACGTGCGTCCACTCTTTGTGTTCTCCCAAATTCTAATCTTCTGAATTCTTCATGTCCCTTCCTTTTTGTCCTCTTTCCAAATTTATTTCACTGGATTATACTCGTTGAATAACATGTTCAAACTCTAATGTTTCCGATTACTGCTTATACTCTTACTACCTCTACCACTACGGGATTTGAATCAACAAGTGCATCTCTGTGCTAATTTGGTGTAGCAACTTGAACTAATGTACATACGTACGAAGTTCTACGTTGTTACTGACTGACTGACTCCATCTATCCTGTATAATGTTGATGATCACATAGAATAATCACTAATAAACTCAATTTTAATATGTTATCAACCGATGTTCACTTACAATCAAATAATTTATTATTCTTAATTAAGTGATTATTGATACTTCGTTGTTTACAGAGGTCAACTTATTACTTTTTCATTCATTCACTCACTCACTCACATACATACACAAGTACTTTCTTAATAGAATACTCTAGTGATTGGTCACTTTTAAGTAAGATATTTAAAGAAATCAATTAAATAAATTGATTTAATTAATTTTATGATAGAATACTTTAAATGAAGGATAATAATAAGTAAAGGAAGCAAATGACATATATATAGACATTGTAATGATCTGACAAATTTCCTTCATTGATTTAATAAACTTTTTGTTTGTTTCTTTACTTCTACAATCAATAGTCGATCAAACCGCTTGATTTTTTTTTTAAAATAATAAATACTGAAGCAAATAGTGATAACATAAATATTAAAAAAAACAGGTCACTTATTGTTTATTACAGGATCCGGATAATTCTAAAAATCTATTCTTCTTCAAGTGATGAACTCGACAAGATTAAAGAATGATATGAAAAATGATGGATTGATAATAAGGAATTTTATTAATTTCGATGCGAAAAATAAGTGAGTTTGTTTTAATCTCATGTTTATTATTTTTTTAAAAATTATTATTAAAGTCAATAATCAATAAAATCAATAATAGAGATATAAGATCAGTTGATGATATTATGAATTATGGATCAATAAAGATGAATTAGGTGCATATTATACAAATCTATCCGTGTCGGGTAGAAACAGGTGTCTACCTTAGTACAATGGAAGATGGTCGCGCAACTTCGTGGATTGGTTGACGTTCAATATTAACACCATTGGATGCCCGATAAGTGGTCCAGTAGGTTAAGCGTTCGCGCGCGAGACTGGAGGCCATGGGTTCGAATCCTGCGAGCGAGATCGTGGACGCGCACTGTTGAGGAGTCCCACAATAGGACGAAACGGCTGTCCAGTGCTTCCAGGTTTTCAATGGCGGTCTAATATCAATCGGTTCATGATCTCAATCAAGAAGAACTTAACAATCTCCACAACCCCTAAACTGACAAATATCTGTTTAGTCTAATGTTTCTAATTGTTTTGTAGTGAATAATAACACAAGTGAGAGATGATTAAATGTATTCGACAAGGAATTACAGAGCATTTCACTAAAATTTGAGAACCATATAGTAAATAGTTAATTTGCAAAATATTAATCCAAGCTTAACTCAAGCTTCACTGGTTCTTTTGCAAATATCAGTCCATTGTCTCAGATTTCATTGTTCATGCATTTTCTTACCAATTGCGTTCCGTTCCCGTTCTTTCCTCATCGACCTTCTATTGAAATACATTCTATGCCTGACCACCGTTATATACTACTTATGTGGATATAAGTAACCAACTATAATGTTTTGAATTATTTGAATTATAGCACGCACTAAGAGTCCCAGAATTAACGCAATTGAATTAAGAAGTAAGACGCAAGTACAAACGGATGTATTGTATTTGGAATTCGAAATCATGCATTTAACAAGTACAAAGATATCATTGTTTCATTCAAACATCGCATCCGCCACAGCTTAAATAGAAGTATAAGTGTTTGTAATCGGTTGTACGTCTTCTTGTTAAGTTCATCCTGAGTCTGTCCGACATTGTATAAGATAAAAACTTTGTAGTATCTAGAAAGTGCTCATTAGTATTGGAATTAACAAACGAAATCGGAACAGACTCACCTGGAATTGTATACAACCAGCATGTCGGTTTTGTATTGAAATCATTAATATCTAGAATTCGAACTGTAGATTTTTCAACACTATCCTCCCCCACGAAATAATGTTGGATCTTTATATCCCCAAGTTATGAATAATGTGGCTTCATTTAAAACATATTTCTCACATTGTTTAGAGTAAACATTAGAACTGTTTTTGTGATAAGGGTAAACAGCAGTTGATATGAAATCATCCGAAATGTAATCAAACTCGAGGTCACTTAGTACTCGTGCTTCGCATTGAGCAGGTTTTTCACAAGGATCAAATGCATTATGAGGATAGGTAATATATGATATGACATCAGGATTTGATTCTTCTGAAATATTCTCATGAAATTCATTAGGACTGTCATTGCAGAGCGTAGGATCGTTAGAAAAATCAGCATCTATCCAAACCACATCAGGTTTCCGATCATGATTAGGTTCATTTAACATATTTTCCTCAATATTGCAAGTAATTTCATTAGAAATATGTGAATCATTAGGAAAAGTCATACCTGGTACAATAGCATGAGAATTCTGATAAATCGGTTGATTAGGAACTGTTGTCTCACAAGAATTCTGGATTTCATCTAACTCTGAACTGCCATATGACTCTGCACTGTCTTTTGAAATCGTTGATAAAGATAAATGATCATTAGAAACATCCGAATTATTGAAATTTAAATTACAAGATTTAGTACAGCTTGAAGCAAAATGGACAGTAGCTTTGCATACTGACTGAATGTGTCCTACCTTACCACATTTAAAACATTTAGCATTAGGAAATACACATGAATTGCGAGCATGAAACTTTCCACATGATAAACATTTACCAAACTTCATCTCACCTTTGTGATTTGCTTTGTAATTCCTCGTTGAAACACCTTTCATATTTACACGAGAATAGGAATCACTGTTAAATGAACGCAAGTTTGATTGACCCTGAGATTGTAGTTCATCACGACGACTAAGCAAAGTATTAGAAATCTTCATCGACTGGATATCAAGTTCATTGACTGCTTCGTAGTTAATACACGCAGTTCTAGCATCTTGAAAGGAACAGTTTGGCATTTTTAACAGCTCTTTTCCAAACTCGGTATGTTAATTCCTGCAATTAATCGATCTCTCAGTTGCACATGAAGTTGATCACCGAAATTACACTTGGCAGCTTGTTTCTGTAATTCAAGGATGAATTCCCGAGCCTTTTGGTCATTTTGACGAACCATCTTATGAAACTTCGCCCTTTCACGGCATTCAAAACTGGTGCATTTTACATGACTTAATAATAGCTCTTTAAGAGTTGCATAAGGGAGTGAGATAGGTTTTTCTGGATATGCCAAAGTTTTTAATAAGCTGTACGCTTCTCTCCCAATGAATGTGAGGAAGTGTGCCACAATATTAACATCCTCGTCATCTTCCTTGGTCATGCTCCAGATTTCGAACCTTTCCAAGTAATCCTCAAAAGCTTCAGGAGTTGAATGAATATCTAACTTTTCCATTGCAGGCTCCATCGCGACGCCAATATAATATTTTGAATTCTTTGAATTATAGCACGCACTAAGAGTCCCAGAATTAACGCAATTGAATTCGGAAGTAAGACACAAGCACAAGCGAATGTATTGTATTTGGAATTCGAAATCGAGCATTCAGCAAGTACAAAGATATCATTAGTCCATTCAAACACCACACCCACACCACAGTTTTAATAGTATGCTCCAAAAGAAATAAGTATAGCTATATTAATGTATCAGTTTAGTTTTTATTTAGTTAGTCCGAATGGAGTAAAAAGTGTAGATTTTCAGGATGTGATCTTCAAGACGAGTATTACTACTATTCGGATATTTTAAATCAGTTGCTAGGCCATAATTTATTCCATATTCTTTTAGTCGGTTGAAAAATTAATTTAATAAACATCTTATCCCATTAATTAAGACATATGAATCCTATTCACATCAAAATTAACGTTACAAGGTTTGTATAAAAACGCATAGAATATAATCTGTAATTATTGTTGGTCACAAGGGAAATTCATTCTTTTAGAAAATCAGTTTGACCGCGTCCAAGTTATGGTAAACCATAGATTATTTTTTACCAACTTTTTTAAACCTAATCGCAGTCAGTCAGTCAGCTACAACGTAGGACCAGGCACATATATGCATTGGTCTAAGTCGCCGCACCTCATTAGCACAACAAGATGAACACCAAATTCATAAATGTAGTTACTTCAATGGTGGTAATATATAAGAGAAAGATCGTTTATAAGGATATACTACAGGAAGAAAGAATTAGTCCGTAGAAAGAAAGTTATAAGGCAATTTTAATCTCACGGATTAAGAGAAGAAAAAGAGTGTATAAAAAGAGAGTATATACTACTTCACTCCCTATCCTTAGTCAACACCAGAACTAACGATAGAGAGTGAAGTAGTCAAACGCGTCGATAACTTTAGTTATCTTGGAAGTCTGGCCAGCCCTAATGGGTTGGTGTCTGACAAAGTCTCAGCACGGATTCAAAAAGTTCATTCGGCTTTCACCAACTTACGTTACCTATGGTAAACGTGAGATATCCGCCTATCAATTAAGGGATGAGTATACTGCGCGGTAGTTCATTCTGTCCTACTTTGTGGCTGCGAAACGTGGTCATTAAGAGTAAAAGATACTCATCGAATATAATCTGTAATTAATGTTAGCCAAATAGGAAATTCATTCCTTTAAAAAGTCTTTTCGGCTGTGACCGTGTTAAGATAAACCATAGATAATTTTATATTCGCTGAAAAATTTCTATTATATTAAAACACAATTACATGAATGAAGAATTTTCTCTTCAATAATTTCTCATTAGGTTCTACAATTATAAATCCAAATTAATAATCCATAACATTGGCCAGATTTAAGGCAGAGAGTACATCATTTAAAATTGTAATATGTGAGTCAAGAATTGTTTGTCATATGAAACCAAATCAAATCGTTAATGTTGGGATGACTAATACGAGGTTGTTGACTTGAATCAGCTTATAAGTGAAATGCAATTGTAAGATAAATGATCAGAATAAATATGGTCATCTTCCATTACCTGAGGAGGACAACGGTTCCACATATTACATGATTAAACTACACTAATGATGATTTTTTCACCAGAACACCTAGAAGTGAGCCTCAAAGTTTGTGTTCGGTGAGCATAGGATTAGTATTAGATTAAAGAGTTTGTGGAGATCGTCATCTTTTCATACATTACATAAAGGAATGCCCACTTTTGATCAGTCTCACACTAGAACAAGAAATACGTATAGTGCTGTAGTGCTATGCAAGCCCACATAGCTTATTCTGGATTCCAGACAGGCCAATTTATTCACTCTTCTCGAGTCATATTTTGACCTTGTTAACTATTTGCTTATCAACTTTGGCTATTTTAATATGATTGTACGTATGTGCACTTCTTATCCTATTCATCGCATGTCTGTAACTTATTTTTGTTCGAGTATAAATATCGATTCACGCTTGGATAAAGAGAGTTGATTCACTCGCGTTATTTCATTTCACTTTGCATGCCGATCAGCGATTGTACGAAATATACATATTCGAAAATCATTCTCTTATTTGACTTATTTAATCCCGTTATTCACTAAGGCGATTTAAGTCAATGAATTTATACCAGGATTGGCAAAATGTGTATTTCAATAGCAATCAGCAAACGACCTAACTGGAACCAGATCTAGGGCCACAACAGTGCTTCCAGATTTTTGACGCTCGTTCAACTAAGATCAGTCCGTGACGTAATCTATGAAAATCCAATTGTCTGTACAAACCTTGTATACTAAACACTCATCAGTCAACATATCTTATACTGCATTGTCCTGATATATAGCATTTATGTAAGAGTCGAATTAGAATGTGGTATTAAATATAATCCTGGGTTTGAATCGCGCGTGCGTGATCGTAGATGCACACTGCTGAGGAGTCTCATACTAAAACGAGACGACTATCCAGTGCTTCCAGGTTTTGAACGATGGTCCAATATTCATAATCTTAATCAAAAACTCGAAAATCTTCACGACCCTATACCGTTAATTAAAAGTATCAAAGAAATGAAGAATCTGAATTACGAATCTCTGTTATATCAATGCCTAGATCATAATGTATCCACCTACATGAGAAATTCAGATATTTATTGAGGAAACGTAAAATTATTATTATTATCCAGCGTTACTAAATCTAGCAGTGGAAACTAATAATTTTAAATAATAGCATATAATCAGAAGGGGTTCTTTGGAGATTGTAGTAATTTCAACAGTTGAGATCATGAGTCAATTGAAGCATATAACACAATCAACCTATTTAATGAGGATAAGTATAAATTTTGATTTACCTTAACTCACTATTTAATATACCAGTTTTTGAATATTTTAGAAGTTGCCCTCTTAAACAAAATGTACCAGTTAAAAGGATTGGTGGTCTTTTCCTATCAGATCACGGTGTTAAAGTTGAAATCCCACCATATGCTTCTAATGGGCGTCGTGAACGAGTTCTTTGTGCAACATTTCCAAGTACAGCCAGAGGAGTTATAGGTCCTTGGTTAGGTCCAGATATGCGAATGGCAAGTGAAATACATATGTTATATTCGCCTGTCAGATTCAGAATGCCAGTTGCTGTATTTATCCCTTTCACTTTTGCTGCTACCCGTGAAATGTATCATCCATCCGGATCGATTAATATACCATTTGAAAGCGTAAAAAGACCTGATTCTAAAAGTTTATGTAAGTTAAAATAAAATACTACCCAAAATTTAAAATTTTATTACTTACATCTACAAAATAACTTATAATTGCTCATTCAGTAATCCATTCAAGCATTTCTACTATTCCTTTACTTCCTAAATGATTTGAAATAGTTTATATCCTACAACATTTCATCTTAATAAAAATAAGCTGATAAATATTTATGACTTGGTTTCATTAAGATGATGATCAAATGTAAGTGAGATTTATGATTTATGAAGTATGAATACTCATTTCATCAGATAGTAGTTTGATAATTAACTGATCTTGAAGGTGAATTTCCGAATTATAAACACATTATTTATTGTACATACATATCACAATTTATTGATTTAACTGACAAGATAACACCTAGTCAATTGGACTAGTAAATCAGTTTCAGTTACACAAAACAAAAATCAACAAGAATGGAAGACGATATTTAATTGGATGAGAATTAAGAACACCAATGAATATAAAATAACTAATACTGAATCATGGAATGTCGAAGATTTATATAAAAATAGTTAAAACAATATGCACTGTGTTGTGACTTTTACCAGGCTAATTATCACGTGAACTATTCACCAACCAGAATATGACCTATACAGCCTTAGTACTGTGCCACAACAGTGACGTATCGACCGGTATAAACAGTCTAACGTCCTTATTGGTCCTTTTTCTGCCTAGCGCTGCCTGTTGGGTCCAGAACACTAACATCAACTTCCACTAAACGAATCATTTATTTCAAATATGCTTTGTTTATATATCAACAGACAAACAAACCAGACCATATCACACCATAAAATAAAAAATAAAAATTGTAAAAGACCAAGCCCGAAAGTGGCTGTGATTGTGAGGAACTGAAATTAATAAACTGGGTATAACTTAAGAATAGTTAGTCGTATAATCATAGTCTATAAGTTAAAATAAGGCTTATCATGAGAGGAGCATAAATATACATAATCTCGTTACTCAATAGGAATACAATCAGAATATATGTATAATATTAGTTCATTAATAGCTCTAAGAAGTTACATATAATTTAATCTTCGCTAGGATATAACACACCGTCGTAACTTATTCTATTTAGAAAAAATAGCAATATCGAGAATAACCACTTTAATACATGAACTCAGTTATATGTAATTTAATTTCCAGTTAAAATAAAATGTTTGTCTCCCTACGATGACAATAAAATAACAAAAGTACTCAGAACTGAGCTTCAGAAATTTACACTGCCACTTATATTGTATTGGATTAACCAGTTTGTTTAATAAATAACGACAGTGTCTCGTTTTTTTTATATTTGAATAACGGAGAAACTTACATCTATGAAATCGCCTAAAAGAGGTCTCTTACCTGAGTCACTGGCTTGCTACGTGTTCTTGTAATTTCTCTCTCTCTCTCTAAAGAAGCTTGGACAATATAACAAAGTAATAGTCTATGACCAAATGACTTTTTTATGAACCAGTTACTACCATATATAATAGCCTAAAACATTCTGTTCACTGTTTATTTATGACATTAACGTTTACGACAAATAATAAAAAAATTTAGCCTAAAGTTAACAATGAAACATTTCCCTGATTTACTTTGGACAAATTGTAGAAGATAACCAGACCACAACATGACGTTAATCTATTAGGTGACTGGTTATCCAACTGAGTGCAGTTGCGAGGTAAGAAATTCCTGGTTGAGTTTCCTAAGGTAATAGCTATCTATGTTTGATAACAGAGCTAAAGATTATCTAACTCTAAATTTTGAACACATTATGGTTCTACTTTCTTCGTTCCCCTATTCGCTTATCCCTTTATGAATTATACTGTTCGTATTTTATTTTTTATGATTACGGGTATTATTTCTTGAACTTATTTTAGAGCATTAATTTCTTTTTTCTGTGTTGATATCATAAGTCACCTTGAGTCGATGAGTATGTCACTAATAAGTTGTTTTTGATAACTTGTGAAGATTTTAATAAACACTGATATATATCACTTATTCTTATTATTTCATTGTAGTACATAATGGTATTCAATCTAATAAAACTTCAGCTAGACTGAGAGGAAAACCACCATACTCAATGCATTTTGGTGATCATCTTTCAACAGCACCCAGTTTAATTAATGCTAGAAGTGTTTCACTACTACAATGCCGTCTTGGAGATGATTGCTGGCATGTAGTGAAAGAATTTACGGTAAATGATATTTTTAGTTTAACTGATAATGAATTTTATTATTTTATTATAAAATCGAAAATGACTAGATAAAATCACTAATTATTTCATCCCTGGAGTACTTAAAGTACTGAAATTGTACTTTTATAATTTTAATAGGAATTGTGATTTGAGCTGCATTCTCAAGATGACAATCATGTTTACTCCATTAAACTCATCCTTAAAATCATAAATAAATCACAGACTTCGTGTATGGGTTTAAGATTTATATGAGAGGGATTTAACTTTAAGTTAAAATGAGTAGCAAATAAAATTAATGTCCATAGATCTATTAATCAAACATCAATAAAGTCCGTTACCTGTCACATTTAATGATTATAAACTCATTTATTCTTAGAAGAAGAAAATTCTAGTAAAAATAGAGGCTGGTTACGAAATGTAAATGAACATATGTAGACCAGACCTTAAAGAGGGAATATTACCTCTGCTCTGAACAAGATACTTTACATGAATATGTGTATATGAAAAAACATGGATATTGATGTTTCAAAAATAGGATTTTTACTCGTTAAAGAGGGATAGTCTTCAGTTATTGAATGCTTTCTAATTATAGCAATCATCTAATTATTCTGATATACACGAATGAAATCATAATTTTCATGTAATATATAACATGAATTAACTTAGAATACATGACGAAAGTTTAGAACTGATATGCATGTACAAATTGTTAGATTTAAAGAAAGTGTATTGCTGGAATAATTAATTTCTTCACTTATCTATACTGTTTACAATACAACTCACTAAGAAAACGTACTAGTGAATAAGAAAAACCAGGACTTAGTTCACAGCTTTACTTTGCACATGATGCTAGAAGTACTACCCAGAGTTCACCAATAGTTGACATTAAACATTGAGATGATTTTGATTTCTCTTTACTAACGTATTTTACAGTATGTATCAGTATATAAAATACAAGAACGATATTTTTCACATCTCAAGCGACTATATCAACAGTATCGTATTTAAATTTAAGGTCTTTAGTACCACAAATAAATCAATTGGTGAGTTTTACAAATTTGTTTAGTCCGAAACAGTCAGGTTAGATTATATATTTATATCACATCAATGAGAGATAGTACTTAAAGTAAAAGGAGATTGTAATTAATAGTTGAACCAAGTAGAAAAAAGATTTTGATTTCTAAAATCTGTTAGATCACATAAGATCAATGACTTGTTTTAGACTAACATTAAACCATACTTGACCGAAGTATGCTTTTTTCTTCCCGCATTCGATCATTTGTTCAATTCATCATTCAATGTTTTTATCAGTTCACTTATTGATTAACCACCTCTACCATTTTATAATGTGACAAGCTGGACTAATTTCATTACAACCCAGAACTCTGAGTTGTTTATATAACTGATAATGATATTTAAAAGTTATTAATTACCTACACTGAAATTAAAGATTTATAAGTTATTTCTTTGATGCAAGAAATATATTATTTTACTGTTCTTAGATTGTTCAACCAACAATTCCTTATGTCGACTGGCCATTAGAAGCTTGTGAATTTATGTTACAAACAAGTCGATGGTCAGTAAACAATACTGCTTCAGAGAATTTCTCTTCGCTTTCAATAAAACTGGGACAATTATTATTAAAGAAAAGTAATTTCGACAATATTAGAGTTAAACAAAATGATAATCGATTAGAAAATGAAAACTTACTGTATGATTTTGTAAATAAAATTGAAAACTATTGTGGTGGTGTTTTCATTCACACAGAAGAACTTAATCATTGTTACATGCTAGTGAACTCAACTAAAGCAGAACAATTTTATATCAATCCTAATGGTGGATTATTTTTCTCTCCATTACTTGATCCATTTTTATCTGTACGTATACCAAAACGCGTCTGTCCTACTTTTGAACAAACTATTTTCAAAGTGAGTATTTATAATGTTTCGAATTATTTGAATTTTAGTATGAATTAAGAATCCCAGAAATAATGTAATCAGATAAAGAAGTACTAGATAGGTAAAAACGAATGTATTGTATTTAGAATTCGAAATCAAGCATTCAACAAGTACAAAAGAATCATTAGTTCATTCAAACACCACAGTATTTCATTTGAAATTAACACTGTTTATTCAGTAATATTATACATAATAACATAAAAATATTCCAATAAAAGTGAAATAGGAGAATGATTACAACTGGAAGAAAATTTATTCTCAGTAGGATTCCTTTTGGTACCTTTTATTTTAGAAGGATGAAAATTCCAGATTCTATGAATTTAATAGTAAAACTATGTATTTCACAGCCCAGTATTCCAATGAATCATGTATCAATACATAAACAGACTTAAACAATTATCTAAAATCTACTTTAAAAGAAAGATAACTTATCAGGCAGACAAATAGAAACAAAGTGGATAGTGGTATAAATGGATATTACTCAATGTTCTCATAATCCTTTCTTCTTCTGAATGGATAAGATTGTAATAAGAACTAAAATGACTATATCTCATTGTAAACTTAATTATTCTCTTTGAATTTTTTTCACTACAATCATGAGGACTAAAAATGATAAATGTCACAAATATTTGTAGAAACGACGTTACTGTCATAATAACAGATACTGGATATAAAGAGAGATGATTTTCGAAAAAAAGTTGGTAAAATAATACGAAGGCAATATTCACCGTAATTTCACTGAGATGTATGATTAATTACTTTTTTACTTACGCTTGTTACTCCCAATGGATCATAGGCCAACGACCAGCATTCGCCAACCCACTCTATCCTGCACCTTTATTTCTAGTTCCTCCCAATTCTTGTTCATTCTTCTCATGTCTGTCTCCATTTCTCGGTGTAATATGTTCTTTGGTCCAACTCTCCTCCTTTGACCTTGAGGATTCCAAGTTCGAGCTTGCCTTGTGACTCAGTTCGGTGATTTCCTCAATGTGTGTCCTATCCACTTTCAGCACTTCTTCCTGATTTCTTCCTCTGTTGAAATCTGGATTGTTCTCTCCCATATTAGGTTGTTGCTGATAGTGTCTGGTCAACGGATGCGAAGTATTTTGCGTAGACAATTGTTAATAAACACTTGTATCTTCTTGATGATGGCTTTAGTGGTTCTGCAAGTTTCCGCCCCAACTAGTAGAACTATCTTGACATTTGTATTGGAAATTCTGACCTTTGTGTTGGTTGACAGTTGCTTTGAGTTGCAGATATTCTTCAGTTGTAAATATGTTGCTCTTTCTTTGCCGATCCACGCCTTCACATCTGCATCAGAACCACCGTGTTCATCGATGATGCTGCCTAGATAGGTAAAGGTTTTTACCTTTATGTTTTATAATGAGACATCAATTAAATAACCAATGGAAACTAGTGAGTAGTGGATAACTCATGTATTCTGCACCTCACCTCCACAGCGATGTGAATCTAAGATAGGAATAATTACCTCCGTTTCTAAATTCAGTCATACATTTAAAACTTAAAGAATTAATCGCAATGTGATCACTGCAAAACCTGAAGGTCACGAGCTCGGTTTGAGAAGCTCCACTACTGTGAGGCCTCCAAGTGTGTGGAAATAAAAATGTCAATCGTTTTCATAGTCAGTTCATAACAAAAATATACCTACAGCTCCAAAACATTTTCACTAATCCACTTGATATTGTTTTATTTGAATCTTCCCATTGATGAGTCCCACAGTGAACATCAACTCTGAGATGGAGGTACATCCAGCTGACGAGTCCCAAACAGGACGAAACGCGCGTCCTGGATTCCACTGCTAGCCACTATCCATCTTTGCTTATTTTCACTAATCGCTTAAAAAAATAATTTACCACTAATTATAGTTTATTGTATTCATTATTTTAGGTAAATGTAAATCATTATTTTATGAACTTTCAATGTTCTAGATTCTAATTTCATTTTTCTTTCCGATTTACATTGTGTTATATGTAACTTCAAAGAAAATAGAAATAAGAAATACTTGGTTGAATTCAGCATGTCAATTTGATTCTCAACTCAATGAAATTGAAGGTTGTTCTGATATTTTTGAATTTCAATTACAAGATATAGTGTTAAAAAGACCTGCAACAATACACTTACCATTACCTCAGTGGTATATTAATAAATTTAACAAATCATTAAATTCTTTAACACAAACTAATATAATTGTAAATGGAATTGAAATGGATCGTTTTACCAGATGTACCTGTTTATTATGTAAAAAATACAAATGTAACATTATCTACTGATGATAGGAGATTAGTTATTCTGTTTCAAGTATGTCGCCTCAAATTTTTATTGGTATATTTTATGAAAAAATTTCATACGATCTGTTACTAGAAGAAAAAAGATAAGATTCATCAATTAACTAAAGTTTTACTAGAAATATACTATAAAACTAAAGATTATACTTATTAAAAGTTCATGTAATTTATAAACTTGAATTATCTCAATTCAATTATGTTAAGTTTATAGCTTCATCCTACGCAGTGTAGTTTCTAGCTACCTTATACAACTGTGAATGATAATTTATTATACACAAAAACTCATTGGAGAATGTGTAGGTAGTTAGAATGTTTGTGGACGTCCATTAATACTGTTTATTATATTGGCTAATGAGCTTTCTAACGAAATATTTTGATACCTTGTCTAATTTACACTTGTATGATACTCTTGATAACTCTGTACGTTTATAGTTAGAATAGAAGTTTTTTGAACGTATAAATTCCTACATTAAAGCATAACCTAAGTCTATGAAATTACTAACTACATGTATAAAATATGTTTTAAAACAGTGTTCGTTTGAACAAAGGCAATAGAATAAAATAAAAATCAATAATCGCGGGTTTAAAATGTCATATTTTAGAATACAATTACCTATTACTGTATCCTCTTAATGAAAACTTCATGATTATAGGTCCATATATCCTGTTTAATGTAGTTTCATTTCATGTACCTTTTCGTTAATACTTCTGATCACTTCGTTAAATCTTTGAATCCCTTACTTTCCAACTAAACCAACATCACAAATATTTTTCCTATTTCAGATTATATTTTTACTCACTAATGATTTTTGTTCATTGTATGATATACTCATGTTTCCAGGTTTTCCATAGTGATCTAGTTTCAATGGACACATGATCTCAACTATTAAAATTACTATAATATCCACACAAAAAACCCTCTTCTGATATTCATGCAATTTTATTAAAATCTCACAATTATTCACTATGTTTAATGTTAAGAAATTCATACAAAACTATATCATTTTGTATATTTTTGTCTGATTTGTCATTTAGGAGAAGCTAGATGAACTCAAGTTTACTTTATATTATTTTCAATCTTAATCCATTCATAATATCATCAGATCATCCTAAACTATCAATATGACATCACTCTGAATTCAAATTTTTAACTCTACAGGTCATAGATGCCTAACACAAAACTTCATATCAGTTTCAGTTTGGAAAGGACAGGAGGCTTGATGGTCTGTGTTAGTTCTGGCACTAGTGCCTCTCAATTGATCCAACTTTCTTTTGAAAGTCAAGGGATAGAGCCCTAACCACGTGCTGAGGTACTAACTTCCACTCGTTGATGATTCAATGGGAAAGTCGATAGTCAGCTGACAAGTAATTTGTTCTGGGCTTGTGAACTTTTTTGGAGTGTTCTCGTAAATTCTCTGTTTTGGAAGACAAGAAAAATGAGGGCATATCATGTGAAAACTTATTACTAAGCAATTTGAAATCTGTAATCAAGTCGCCTCTAGTTCTCTGATATGACAACCCGAATAGATTTAGCTTGGCCAGTCGAGCGTCATACGGGAGCTTCGTTATTCCGGGAATCAACTTAGTTGTTGTTCTCTGAACCTTTTCCAAAAGTTCACTGTCCTTTTTTAAACAGGAGCTAGCCGCTTGTATGCGGTACTCAAGTTTAGGACGCACGAACACTGTATACAAAGTCAAAAACGTTTTATCGTCGACGTGACTAAAAGCCCTACGTATTGACCATAAAGTTCTAAAACCTTTGGCGGCTATTGCACGGTAGTGTCCAGTAGTCTTTAAGTCTGGGCTAACAATAACTCCTAAGTCATTGTGAATCTGGACAACAGGTAGCTCAGTGTTATATCATTTCTTTTAGTAAAACGTTTAAATTAAAAACATCCTAAATCCCTACAATTAAATCTCGCAACAAACCATGTAAACCTGATGTGAATGTCCTTTCAATTAGGCAAAAAACGATTTAATAAGATAATCTACTATGGTGAATAAGAACAGCAGTGGGGACAATCGAATACACACAAGTACGAAATTACAGAACATCTCACTAAAATCTCAGAACCATATATAGCAAAATATTAATCCATCATCTCAAACTTGACTGTTCCTGTTGCAAACATCAATCCATTGTCTCAAATTTCATTGTTCATGAGTTTTCATACCAATTGCGTTCCTTTTCCGTTCTTTCCTCATCGATCTTCTATTGAAATACATTCTATGCCTGACCACCGTTATATACTACTTATGTGGATATAAGTAACCCACACCATAATACTACAGATTATAATTTCCACAATATAAAAACAAACATTCATACTCATAAATCTATATTAGTTATTTCTTTATTATTATTATTATTATTATTATTATTATTATTATCCAGTACAACTGTTTTATCCCTGTTTATTCTCATAATAATAGCCATCTGGATATATAAACAAATTGTATGGCAAAGTGCTAAAGTTAATGAGATGGACGAAAGGGAAATATTTAAGATGAAATCATCTGAAAATATTGATTGTATAGAATCTAAGAATTCTTCGAAATGTAAAATAGATGATATTTTTGTGCAATTAGGATGGTCATATTTACTAGTTGGTATAAGAGGTGGATTGTGGCAAACAATGAAACAATCAGTTTATTATACTAAAAGAACTATTTCATTTGATACAACAGTTTTAGGAAGGTAAGCAGAAAATTAATGCATTTTGTAATTCATTTCAACCATAGTGCTACTTTCAGTATTATATATATTTTTTACTTACGTCTGTTACCCACTTCATGAAGAGGCATAAGCCTCCGACCAGCATTCTCTATTCAACTGTATCATGGGCAATCCTTTTCATGTCTGCTTCCGATTCTCAACATAGTTGTTATATTCGGTCTTCCTATTTTCCTCTTTTCCTTAGGATTACAAGTTATGGATGCCTCGTGATATAGTTTGATGATTTTCGTAATGTATATCCTATCCACATCCTATGTCTTTATCTGATTTCCTCTTCGACTGGAAACTGGTTTGTTCTCTTCCATAGTAGTTGTTACTGATGGCGTCCAGTCAACAGACATTAAATATCTGGCTTAGAAAATTGTTTATAAATACTTGTACTTATATGATAATGATTGAAGTCGTTCTCCAAGTTTCAGTTCCGTACATCAGAACTGTTCAGATGTTTGTATTGAAGATTCTCAATTTGATATTGGTTGACACTTGTTTTGAGTTCTATTTGTTCTTCAGCTAAATATTTATTAAAAAATACCAACTAGGAGACTATTCGTGTTACATGTTCATGTTTCAGCTTAACATTTAGTCGAGGAATGTACGTTTTAATACTATTAACAATTGAGTGAGATAAGTGACGATGGTTGGATGACAATGAGTTTAGATGTTTTTGCAGAGACCATTAACTATGTATGAATCGCTGAAAATGTTTACATAGTGTTTTATTTTCTTGATTCACTTTGGATATGAGTGTAAAGATAGTTTATTGTAAAAGTGGCTTTTGTTGTTTTATTACATAGATAGTTGTCAGATGATTCCATTCAAACATTCACCTTATTTTTATTTTTATTATTTCACGTTTCGCTTCAATTAATTAGTTCCTTTTACTATTTGAATCATTGTTTAAATTCCATACAGTTCGGAGATTATTTTTATCTACATTTAACCAGTTCCTTTATACCCATCATCTCAGAATTGTTTTCATTTGTAGATATTTGTTCATTTTCAATTTCAGTTAGTTTGTTTCTATATTCTCTTGATTTTATATGTAACCTCTCAAATATATTAATTTAGTTTTGTTCTGTGTTCGCATGAATGCTTACCTTAACTGTTTAAATTTCAATACTGGTAGTTATCACTGTGTCTTCCATGAAATTAAAATGTTTCTGAATTACAACCACAATACATTCTACTTATCTCTAAACCATCTGCATCATCAATTAATTTACTTGATATAACTTTACTACTCACAAGTAGGTTGTTTGTAGTTAAGTATTTGTGATAAAGTAATAAGATTTACTCAATTGTTCTATTAGTAATCCTTTGAACAATAACTACAAACTACTTCGTTACGAAAGTGCGAAGATATACTAACTTTTATTTGCATATGACCTACTTTTTTGGGTGCATGATATCTCAGGTCTCAATGATATATGTTTGTTTAGAAAATAACTTGTCGTTTAATAATGTTCAGTAAACTGGTTGATTGGACTTATGATATTATGTCTTATCATTTTAATCTTTATGTTAACTGTTTTGTTTGCTATCGTTATGCTATACAAATAAAGATTTGTAATGATAGGAGCACGAAATTCAGATCGCAAAACAAATGATAAATTAGAGCACTTGATGACACAAATTGAATCATTAGCATATACTCCACCCGGTGCAATACTGATTTGCTTACATATAACAGCAAATAATTGGCAAATTATGGCTAACGTTATCCTGAACAACGATTAAATGAAGTTATTGAAAAACTAATATCAACTGGTTTTATTCCACTTGTTCAAGTAAGTAGAAATTATTTTCTTAATTTAAATACCGTTAAAGTTTAGTATTCAACGTTAGTATTTTCACTTAATAATTGTAATTCAAAACAATAGTTTGTAATAAGTAGTAGGAGTACCTGTTACTTCGAGGATTTCAGTAATTTGTATCCATCACGTTAATCTATGCATTCGGGATTCCACTGCTAGTCACTATCCATCTTTGCTTATAATGCTTGTAAATTAAGGCAATATCGAGGCAATACACACGGTATGTACATATGACAATAAGAGACAGATCAATTTCACTCCTAAACATCAATGGAAAGATTCAAGTAAAGCAATACCAAGTGAATTAAACTTCACCCCATAGTACAAGCAAGTGGCTATCAGGACTCAGTAGCTATGTGGATAACGCGATGGCGTTTGAAGTGAAAGGTACTGGGTTTGAGTACCTGAGGTGTAGGTACATCGAGCTGACGAGTCCAAACTAGGATGAAACTCGTGTCCGGGATTCCACTGCTAGCCACTATCTATCTTTGCTTATTATGCAGAAGAAATTGGAAAACTCATTAAGCTCACTTAGTCATAAATTCATATTACATATAAAATAATCAAAAGTAATAAATTCAGCCTAATATGTGACATACTAAACAAAACTAATTTTAGGCTGAAAGTAAAGCTTATATAAGAGGTGTTATTAGGTAGGCCGTAACTGTACGAAGCTGGCTTACTTTCTCCTTATAAATTTATGCCAAAAAAGAGAGTAACTTCAATGATAATTAGATCCCTGCCTACTATACAGCATAATTTTGGCAAAAAACTATTGCTCTTAAATAATCTGAAAATTATTAGAATTTCAGTTTTAATCCATAGCTCTATGTGATTAAGTATATATATATATATATATATATATATATATATATATATATATTCCTATTGGATAACTATTAAGTAATTAGTCTATGTTTATATTCACACTCTATTTATCAGAAAATGTCATCCGACCTATTTATTACTATTATACGATTTACTATTCTCAAGTTATTCCCAATCGATTAGTTACAGTCTCTCACACTCACAGCCACTTTTGGGACTGATCTGGTATAATTGTTATTTTTTATTTCATGGTATGATGGGATCTGGTTTGCTTGTGTATAAACTACATGCGTCTGAAATATATTATTCATACAGTGTAGGTTGAGATTGCATTCTCGACTAAGCAGGCAGGGTTAGGCAAGAAACTGCTATACAGAATACCGATAAGGACTAAGAGTTGACTCAAGGCTGCTCGTACTGGTTAACACATCATTAGCTTAGCACAGAGACAAGGTCATATAAGTCGGTGTTCTGATTGGTGATTTTGTCACGTGATAAGCGACAGGAGCAAAGTCAAAACAAATAAGACACTAAAGGAATGAACTATTAATTAAAAAGCAATATAGTTTTTGACTTACTAAACGCTGGAATCTAAGGACTTGACTTCAGAAGCCATTAAGTTTATCTAGCATAAACTGAATTATAACTGAAGGCCAGGGAGCGCTGGATAGCTGTCTCTTTCAAAATGTGAACTCTTCAGAAGTGCACATAAATGACTCTGTAAAAGACTTAATTTTAAACATTCATATATATTGACGATTGAGTTAACTTTAAACCATTAAACTGAGGCATACATTAGTGGCTAACTTCAAAATATATTAACAAAGATATACTGAGGATTCGTGACCGTTAGAGTTCAATGAAATCAACCAAATAATTCAATGCTTAGCAGACGTTTTCAACTATTTGAAATAAGTAAGAATTTAAACTTTCTTAATAGCCAATTTGTAAATACCACTTTGTAAATGAGAATTCATTCTTGATCTAGAGTATCTTTTAAACGGTAAGTTATTATTTACTTGAACAGCTGAACTTTCGAATTTGTACAACATTTACTGTTAGATTGTTTTCGGTGGAGTTTTGTTCTCTGAGCTGATGATTTTTTTGATTGGAAAATCATGCACAAATATAGGAACAAAAATCAAACCAATGGAAGGCACAACCAAAACAAAGAAGCAAACAATGACAAATTTAAGGTCAATAAGAACCAATCAACATTGAGGTGTAAAGAACAAGCTGTGAAACGCATATGGAGGAATTCGAACACTTCACTTTAATCTGAAGTTTGTGCTGATGATGTTGTTCAGAAGAACGACGAAAGCTCCACGACCAAACCATCCAGCTCAGAGAACAAAACTGCGACAAAATCATCCACATGAGCTACAAATTTTCTCCACTGTTAGATTGTAAAATTAAGAAAATGAATGCACTGAAATAGTTCTTTAAATCAATTATTTTATATCACTTTTTAAAAAAATGGTTTTATAGTCATTTTGATTAATCAATATTTTGCATTCATACGTTTTTCTTTGGTGAACATAAACAAGAAAGAAAAAGAGATGAATTTTCAAAGAGAAAATGGTTTCACTTTTTTAGTGTATGGTCAGTTTTCAACTGTAAACAGTAAAGATAACTTGCAAATTATCATAGATATTTTTGGAGCAGCGACCGGGTCTGCTGTGAGATAGCAACTCACTGAAGACAATGGTGGACGGTGGGGTAATTTCGTGGATTAGTTGAAGTTAGATATTAACACAGTTGAATGTTGGCTCAGTGGTTTAGAGGTTAAGCGCTCGCGCGCGACACCGAAAGCTTCTGGGTTTGAATCTTGCAAGACGGAATCGTGGATAAGCACTGCTGATGCGTCCTATACTAGGACGAAACGGCCCTCCAATGCTTCCATGTTTTCCATGATGGTCTAGCTTCAATTGACTCATGAATTCAACTATAAAATTATAATTTAAATATTATCATTCTTCTTGCATTAAACAATTAGCATCTTTAGGGTATTCAATATATTGTCATATATTTATTATTGATACTGATTAGCTGAAGTTTTAATCTGTATAGAAGTGATAAAAATCCATGAAATGAATTCATTTAATTCAACGAATCTATTTATTCCTGTCATGTTCAAATCAATATTTTGTTACAGAATCCACTAAACTATGTACTGAAAATCCTTTTTCAATATACTTGAGTAGGATACAAACTTTTGAACCATCATCTGACTACATACTGTTATTTAGAATTTTACTTAATGACTTAATAACTTTAAAAAACGTTCACATTTATAGGTAGTGCATGCACAAATGAAATAGTTTTCCAGTCCTGCTGGTTCTACGGGAAGTTCATAATCCAAATAAATAAACAAAACTTAAAATAACCTTCATAAATCTCAATCATAAAAGTTTTTATTATCATCTGACTGATGGTTTCCTAAAGAATTATCAATCCTAACAAGCAAAATTCATACTAGTAATTTACTTGTAAACTATTCTGAGTGTTCAAATACATAAGTGAAAATTAAGACATTTGAAATGCTTTGTTATGACACGTTTTTATCAGTTCATCTCAGTGCATATATATATTTCTTTTAAAGTTTAGTACTGGAGTAGTCAGAAAAGCAATTGGATTAAATAATGCAATCTTACAAACAATGGAATGTAATCGAAATGTTAAAAATGAAGTAAGTTTATTAAATATTTCTGTAGATAATCAAAGTTTCCCTTGTTATAACGATATAAATTACGTAATAAATGAAACTAAATAATTTAAAAGGTCAAGATCAATTTTGAAATAAAAGTTATAAAGAGATTTAGACTATAAAATGGACTATAAGCCAATGAACTACTGAATTAAGTCAACCCATTCAACTTTCGATCAATATCTCATGAGAAAAAGTAAAGAGTGTATTTAAGTTTTATAAAAAAAGTTTTACTATTTGTTTCAGATTATACCAGTCTGTAATGAAAACCATTTTTAAAATAAATGATTAGTTATAGTGTGTGTGTGCTACTGATGTCGATAGATAGAAGTAGTATGTATCATCACTCGAAAATGAGATGACTGGCGGTAAAAATTTAAGAAGATCGAATAAAAGTGAATGAGAACAGAGATTGATTAGTGTGGAAACGAAGGAACAATGAAGTCTGAGAAGATTGACAGATATCTTACAAATGAAGTACTTATGGTATAGTGTTCAGATTTTAATAAGATGTTCTGTAATGTTATATTAGAATACATTCGATCGTCCCCACTTGTGTTCTCATTCACCACATTATGGTGTCGCTGCCAACCAGAAGGGAGGAAGGGTGTTATTCTGCGGACTCCATTACGGGCCTGGAGCTGAGGTGCTAATAGGTCTAATAGCTTTGACTAAAAAAAGTTGTTATAAACTTTGTTTATGAGTTCATGAAGTATTTTGTATGTGTTATTTCAATAATATTTACATTTTTGTTTATTATTTGTTCTCAATGTTTTTTTCTCTCCTATGAATTCAATATAGTTAATGTTTCTTACATGATTTTTATCATGTTAACTATGTATTAACGTTCATTATTGACCTTTTACTATATGTATTATATATAAGTAAAAATAAATGTTAACTAATAATACAAACAATCCAACTCTATTTTAATCGATCTATTTAATCTCCTTTAAAAAAAAAACAAATGAGTTTTAATACCAATTTTATTGATTGAAATCAAGAGTCAATTGAAGCTAGGCCACCATGAAAAACCTGGAAGCACTGGACGGCCGCTTCGTCCTAGTATGGGACTCCTCAGCAGTGTGCATCCACGATCCCGCACCCCGCGAATTTCGGACCCAGGATCTATCAGTTTCGCGCCAGGCGCTTAACGAACTAGACCACTGACCCGGCATCCAACGGTGTTAATGTCTAACTTCAACCAGTTCACAAAGTTGCGCCACCGTTGGATGCCGGCTCAGTGGTCTAGGTGTTCAAGCGCCTGGCGCGAGACTGATAGGTCTTGGGTTCTAATCTCGCGGGAGGCGGGACTGTGGATGCGCACTGCTGAGGAGTCCCATAGTAGGATGAAACGGCCGTCCAGTGCTTCTAGGTTTTCTATGGTGGCCTAGCTTCAATTGATTCATAATTTCAATCAGTGAAATTTCTAAAATCTCCACAAAACCCATTCTGACCAATTTTATTGTTGTTTTGTTTTGTCTAAAATGTTATCAATTGTTGTCCATTGACTTATTTAGTTCACTATTTTTTTCTCTTTCTTTTCCTTCACTTAAATATTCATAGAAAGTAAATAAAATAAAATGTTATCGTGTAACTGGATATGATATTAATCATATATTAATGTTGAATGGTTTATGTTTAGAATTACGTTTTCATGGTGATATACAAATAAAATCAACTAGTCAATTTGATCCATATACAAAATGTATTCATAATAAAGAAAAAGAACTATTGATCAATCATTCCACATCTTCGGAATTGACAACATTAGAAAACAATGAAACAATTAAATTATCAGATATTAATTTTGACTTGGATATTGAAATGAATAAACAAATTGAACAATTGACAAATGAAATAAAACCGGAAAAATTATCACATACAGAATTATTAAGTAAACATGCAAGAATACAATTACATGAATTACTGTCAGATACATCATGTATTGTTGAAATTGAACCAATAGAATCTTTGGAAGAAAAATATTCTGAACGCAATGCTATAAAGTTAGTTGACAATATTTTGGTATTATAAAAGTATAGGTTCATTTATTTATTTGTATAACGGTCTATGAGTTTTTGGTATTACCTAACAATAGATAGAGAATTGAAAGTGAAAAAAACTGGAACATGAATGCTATATATATATAGGGACTCATGTCTGTTTTATCCACTGTGTATTGGTAGACAGCGACAGAGTATTACTTTCACGAAAATATTCCCAATATTATTTGTTATGATTAGTTATAGTAAGGTACTCATTCTTTGATTTTTCTTTTAGGTAGTATAAATTCCTAAACATTTGTAAAATTTGTTGAATAATTCTAATTTCGTTTGTTTGATATTGGTTTAAGGAATAACATTCGTACTCATCAATAACACTAATTTACATCTACCCCATCTGAGAACTTAGACTGGTTTTATCCTCAGTTTGTTTTTTCTCCATTTTAACGAACGAATATTATGAAAAAAAAATCATTTTCATAGAATATGTTTAGTTTTCATTGGTAGTTCTTTGAATAATTTCAACTTTTAATAATTTAGTTCATTAATAATGAATATCGGAGATTGCATAACTTAAACTGAAATCGGATAGAATTATCAGGTATAACCCATCGTAATCTTGCCTAATGCATACAAAATTCATAGATTTAAAAAGATATCTATTTTATTACCAATCCCAGTTATATACAAACAATTTTCATCCCAGTATAAAACATTTATTTAAACTAAAACAGCTACTGAGATGGTGGAGAAGATTTCTACCTCAGGCGGATGATCTTGATGGAGTTTTGTTCTCTGAAATGAATGGTTTAGTCGTGGAGCTTTCATCATCAGCACAAACTTAAGGTAGGAGTGAAGTGTTCAAATTTCTTCACATGTGGTCCACTGCTTGTCCTGTACACCTCGATATTGAATGGTTCTTGTTGGTGATAAACCTGTCATCTCCCATTGGGAGACAAACAAAACGAAGAAGTAAACAATGACAGGTTGATTTAACTGTATTTCAACTAAATGATAATCAATTAGAAATCTTCACCAAATAAGTAACCATTAATGAGCATAAAATTGTAGTGATATCATCAATAGAGGAACAGTTTACTGAGAATCAAATTATTAATCACAACTGAGATATACCGAAAGTTAATAAATAGAATTTACTCTGAATGATGAAATACGTTAAAATGATCGAAAGGAAACTAACTTAAACCAATATCTAAAATAAGGTTGGTTTCTTACACATTGTATTTGAGAATCTGGAATTCTCAACACATCCTCTTATTAATAACGTGCTCCTCTTGAGTACACATAGAATTGAACACCCTGCCGCCGCTGTTTGCCCAACCATCCTCTGGGATGCAAATCCACTTGTTCTAGAGGTGCAATCCTTGTTCTTTCTTGAGTGTCAGTCGAGGGCTGCAGTAAGCTGAAGGTGTCTATTGGCATTTCTCGTGACAAGTTGCCTATTTCTGTCGTACGTTTCGTTGATACACGTCTTCGTAACTAAATGAGATGTCGCATCCATTAGTCTTTTCCAACCTCCACTTCATCGATTACTTGCCCTAGTACTCTTACAACACACACCTCTATCAACGTACCATATCTCGGTCTGTAACCCTGGACGAACAAATCGTTATGAAGAAGCGAATATTTGGATAATTATAACTTGTGGAACTATTTTACGGACTATTATTGTTTACATTTTCACTGTATAATTACTAGGTAATAGGATTATCGTATTTCTATATTCACTGTACTGTGAATTTCCATCAGACCTGCTAATTTTAATTATTACCAATAAACTATTTGCTGTTTCTCCATTCTCTGTCACTTATGGCATGATCGTATGCAAAGTATTTCTTTTTTGTAATGCAGCACCGTCTGATAATTAATGTTCATCAACCAATGTGTGTTCGAAATAAATATATTGAGTGAAATATAAATAATAGAACCTTGTCTGTTGTTTTTTCTCATCGGATTCAGAACTGGGTATAGAAGTTGTGCATATAAGTGGACCGATAGAAGTTAAGATTATCTCGACTTCAGTTCAAGTTTAGTCCTGTTAACTCTAAGGTATCATTGATCAAAGCCTAGGAAACTAAGCTAAGTACGAAAAATTACACACAGGGTAGAAGAAATGTAAAGAGAATTGTGACTGGTGGATCGTTAGATTTGATCAACTGCTCACTCACGGCACACAGGAGATCCAACTTCTAATACCGAGGCTTCTGGTGTTACTATTTTCTCACAGGTAATGCTTTTAGGTAATATCAGATGGTGAATTGTTCTCATCCCTTAACCCACAAGGATTTCCAATAATTATTCCCGATTTGGTAATTAGTCATTTTGTCTAGTGCGGTACATAAAACAAAAGTTGTGCAATATATTGACGGGCGTCCCCATGATTTTAACAACACTCTTTAAAAGGTGTCCAGAAACTGTTCTGTTTGCTCACTTGACTGGGGATGGTGTAGCACTGAGATTATATGTATGAGATGTTGGGGGCAGAATTCGCGAAAATGGCTAGAGACAATAGGGAATCCGTTACCTGACGCTTAAGTATATACAGTTGGTACTCATAATTATTCAGTTCGAGTGAATCTGAAATCAAAAGGTTAATTAGCATGGTTACGCGCTAGGAAAATAAGTAAGCCGAACGTTAGGACAGGCAGCCTTATTCACTCAACATCCTATTTGAATTTTTTACCATCAAAAAGCATCTAATATTTCTTTTTGTTAATAATGAATGTAAAACTCATTTAAAAGTCATGTTTTTCTAGAATCTCTGTATATATATAGTAAACGCCTATACCTCAACTCCTAGAAGTCACCTATAGAATAAATGTATTGGTTTTTAAAACTTACTGGCCTATATCTAATAAATGAGTGTTTTTACCCTTCAGATTACAGTACCTATCAGAATTGTTAAATAAACCTACTCCTCAGGATCCAGCTTACCAGAATGACAACGTTAATGAATTTATGGAAGATTCTATTTTAGGAGATGAAGAGACAATGAAAACACTCGAAAATAGTAAAAGTTTGGATGTTACAATTACAGAAAACAAATCAATAAAAGACCAACCATCTTCACCGACAATCATTAATCAAGATTTATTCAATCGTTTCGAAACTATGATAGAAAATAAAGAAATAAGTAGTAAGAATATGATTATTAACATAGCTTTTTCACATCGGTTCTATCACTGTTAATGAAAAAACCCATTTATATACAGTTGTAAAAAATACTTAACGGGGGTGGCTCCTTGTTCTAACTCCAGCTATATCGTATGATTATCGTTATTGAAATATACATATGGTCAATTCTCGTATAAACTTACCGACTTAACTCGCGTTGATGAATAACGGAATTTCATAAGTCGAATACGAAAATGGATGTTTGAATACGTACATTTTGTACACTCGTTGATCGGAAGGGACAATCAGAGAATCGCAGCGAACGAAGCGAAGAGAGAGAGCAAAATGAAAAGAAACGACGCGCGGTGGATTTGGTTCACCCACCTTCCTCACCGTGCGTCATTTCACTTCGCTCTCTTCTATTCGCCTCATCCCTCGCATTTCTTGTCCAAATCAGTGAGTGTACAAAATATATGTATTCAAAAATCCATCCTCGTATTTGACTTATCGAATTCCATTATTTACCAACGCGATTTTAGTTGATGATTATATACGAGGATAGCCGACAGGTGTATTCTGATGATAATCAGAATACAATCCAATTAGAGTCAGATTTCGGACCACTAAACGGGTTTAGTAAAGTCAAAGTATAATTGACGACGTTTATGCTATTATTTGTCAAAGTATCTCGTCACTGAGTTGAAGGTCTAGCTGACCAGGGTTATGTTATATAATCCAATAAGGAATTAGGTTCATATATTTAATCTATATCATTGTAGATGAAGCATATTAAGTAGTAATTAAATGTTTATGATGTGTTGATCTAAACTAATCATATGACCTAATTCAAAGAGCAACCAGTTATTTTTAAATTAAATGGCAAATGACATAAAAACTAGATTTTGAGTAAACAAAAATAACTGAGGGTCATTTTTAATCTGTACTACTGAAAACAAATGACGGTCAATAAGAAATCCATGCTATATAGAAATAAAATGGGTAAAATCTATCTTATCCATCTCAATGAATATCAGCAAGATAAAAAAAAACATTTGTTTGAATCCCTTTTAGTTCTCTGTCACAGATTTAGGGAATACTTTAGTGCAGAAATATATTTTTCAATTGAATTATGATAAAAAGCAAATGTATTAAATATGAAGAATCTTTGGAATTAAATCGCAGGTTCAGTCGAAGGTTATTTTGCTTTTTGTTAATTATTGAATTGATATTTCAATTTGGGCATCTGAAGACAAATAATAACTCCTTTGAATCCATTCACATTTAATTAGTAAAAGACTACATAGGTTGACTGTGAATAATTTTCATATGTGAACGACTAATAGATTAACAAACCATTCTTAAATCCCAATATTGACAGCAAAGGAGCTCAAGGTCCTAAATAAACTTCAGTGACAGAGGTGGGACGTATGGATTTATACTCATTAATTCCTTCTAACTAATTCAAAAATTTACCACTTTTACATATGCATGAATTTCCTATCACGTTGTATGTACACTTAATTCAATTAAAAAAATGAAGTTAATCTGATTATAACCCGATACTCCAGTAGCACCCTGATTGCTACAATCCGAAATTCAACCTCAAATGGGACCAAGAATTCATATGTATGAGCCGTTTCAAGATAGAATACACAAGTATCCTACACTCTCAAGCTATTATTAGATTTAGGGTTAAATTCTATCCAGGATAAAATATATATGTTGAATTGAGTAAATTTATGTTAGTTAAATATCAAATATTGTATTGTGTATGTTCTATACTATTTGTTTTGATAGGGTCTAGTGAATTTGTAATGAAAATATATGAACTATATCATGTTGGAACTGTTGAAGTTTGGCTAGTTCCACCATATGATATGCCACAACTTGAAGTTAAAGAAGACAACGAGCCACAGGAGAAGCAACCAGAAATGCAAAATCACATTGGTGTACCTGCTTACAAACCGGACTTAAGAAGTGTTAGCAATTATGAAAACGTTAGACCACATACAAATAAGGAATTCACACCACCTACATCACCCATAGCTCGACCCAAATCTTCATTTCCTCAAATACGACGGCACAAAGCTTTTCCAGATGACAGTGTTGGATCATATCAGAATCAAAAGTTGCATAATATAGTTCGTTTAAATACTGTTTGTGGTATAGAAATAGCTAAAGAAAAATCTCCATCTGGTGTGACAATGGAAGATTTCCCTTCAGATCTAAAATCCCCTTTGGCTACTTACGATGTGAGTTTCAATAAACTTGAATATTATTATTCTGAAAGAAATTGCATTCTTAAAAGTATTGTTTAAAGCTGCTCGTAATTTGAAACGAAATGGGTTGAAAAATTATAATGAATATGATTTCTTATAGTATTTCCTTGACTGATGCCACATATATGGATAGCTGCTGTACTGCATTTCACTCTTTTAGTATACTATTATATACTATCTTTAGTGCAGTTTAATTTACTAAGTTTGTTAAACTTGAAGAGAATACAAAGCAGAATTGTAAAGACAAGCTACCTGTAAGACGCTTGAAAATGTCTTCACATACATAACAATAAAGTCTGACCAAAATTTAAGTACGAGAAATATAGTACACTTTTTCAAAGTAATTTAAAGGATCTACAGTTCAGATAGTATAAAATACTATTAAGAAGAAATCTTTATAAGAAGTGAGTAAGTCACCAATAATAAGGCTAATTATCAAAGTTCAAGGATGAGCAAATCTTTTGGTTTTGTGTACACACTTTCCAAAAATGTAAATACTTCAAACAAATCTAGATGCGATTTCCATTTCCACAGGAATAAATATATTCATGTATGTTATTATCGTCCTAGTGACTGAATCGCATTTATTTGGCAAAGTAAACATGTGGACAGAATACCACATGAGTATGAATGGTGATTGAAAGGGAATAGAACTTTAGCTATCTGAAGTGACATATTAGCCATAATAATGTGATCACTGAAAAACATCTCGATAAGAATACAGAAAGCTGCTTTAAAATTTTCCAGACTAACTCATTACTAATTTGGAATGAAATACGCGAACACTTATTAAAGCCAAGTGTAGGAAATAGTAATTCTCTCTGTATTACTCTGACTGTGTAACTTTCCTTAAAAAGGAAAAACGTTTATGGATAACAGGCAGTTGATCCCATGTTTCATCAAAAAATTGTTTACGCGTAATAGAATAGCGAAATGGGTCATAATGAATTAATTTGTTTAGTTTTAGGTACCAAGAATAAATCGATTAACGAATTTGTAGACCTATATAAACTACCGTGACAGAATTACATGTCACGTTTGCCAAGCCACTGCTTATTCACAGGTAGGATGTTGGGGGAAGTGGAATATGGTTAAAAAAAGTACACAATATCAGCTGATGAAAGTAATAACAGTCGGTTTAAATCATGCATAATGAAGTGGACATTTTTAGTTGTAGTTTTTAGGATGGCGTAAAAAGGTGTTCGGAAATAAAAGTTCCTGTGACATAGAATCAGTTACAAAGATAGTTGTGCAATCGATCTTTATATGTTTGTAGACGTTGAACTTTTTCCTACGTGTTAGTTACAATTTTTCGTTATCGACCTACATCACTGTTGTCTTTAGTATTTTCAAACCTTTCTTACCTTCTCCTTCCATGAGTTTTGCGATATATGGTAAATTACACTGCCTTACTATTGATACATAAATCTGATATAAAAGAAATTCACTTAAATTACCTTTTTTTTCTAACTTATTTTCCAGATTATGATTGATCCTGATATCGTTTCTAATTATTTAAGAGTAATGCCATTCAAACCAAAAACAATAAATAATACTGAAATGATAAAGATCGTTTAGAAAAATCTGCAAGAATTAATTCTACTATAATGCCAAAAGAAATCAATAGAAGTCAACGTGGTCTAAATTCAAGTGTTGGAAGAAAATTATTGAATTCACCACCTAAAAATCGTGGTATTATTAGTGCCAGATCTTTAAATACAAGTGCTTTAAGTAAGTTGTTTATTGAAAATCAAATAGACCACAGTTACAAAATAGTTTAAAAGTAGTAAGTTTGAAATATTTATCTATGATTTCATATTATACTCTGAGTTTAGCCAAAAGAAAAATTATGTATTTAATACAAAAACAAACATTTTTGTAGAACAGATTCTATTTCTTTTCTCTCCATCACTTATCAACAACAACTAGTTCTAAGTGGTCGATCTGGGTTCTTTTATGGAATGTGTAACAGCATCAAATGTTTACTAAGTCTCTATTCTAATTCAGTAATCTGACATTTTAACCTTGTCATTGCCACAGTAATGATAGATAGAATTCATTGGAAGACGTTGATACTTGAAAGAAGCACATTTTCAACAATATTAGACACAAGGAACAAACGTCGAACTCTCGATAAATGGAATAGGTAGTCTACATTACTCAGTTCAAATGTGGGTTTTTTTTCATGAGCCGAATTTACTTTTCGCTAATGTGTAAACCTAATAAAAACCATTCGCAATAACACTTCGTGTTTAACTCCTTTGAACAATGAAAATTATCTGTGAAATAATTAAAGTAATTGGTTTTTTCAAAATATACGAATATTTTTCATCGATACATTCCCTACATTAACTAATTCGATCATAAGAAAAAGAAAGAAAACCTCTTTGGTTATATAGAACGATAGTCAATAGATTTAATGAACCTCCCCTTTTTAAGTGATGGTGACACCTATAGTTGGAGTTTAAGAAATAAAAGGGAATTTTTCACCTAACTTAATGGTTTAAGCACCCAGCTTTTAACCAATAACATATACGTACAAAGAGCCGTCCCATTCACTTCCGTTTGGATCACCTGGAAGTATCATTATCCCTTACACTTCGTGACTTGAAGCCCAATACATAAACATATACTTGTTAAATAAATTAAATTTACTATTCATTATTGACACCTTTAAAACAGTGAGAATCATTTTACTTCTGTCATGAATTACTGCTTCAACATATATATTTTCAAGGGAAAGATTATCTTTACAATAACCATTGAAAAAAACTTAGGATTTAGAATTTAGTGCATTAACTAGTTCCAAAATCAGTAAAACATGTATGTTGAAAAATTAAATCCAATCAAATTACACATGTGAACTGTAAATCACGTTACCTTTGTATTATTTTCGTACATTCATATTATCACGTTGTATACAATCTAATGAGGAGTGAAATAAACTATTCATGATAAATCTAGATGGATTATACTCACTCAGTATTTTAATACAATTCAGTCATGATTATTTTATCGAAAACTGAAAGGTTAACAGCACATATATAAACCGATAGACTAAGCTTCGATTGTTAGGATGGTTCTAAAAATATTGTTGGTAAATTGAATAAGTCAAATCAAGAAAAAAATAACAGCAGAAAGTGAAATATACGTGCTTATTCCATAATTTAAACTGGAGAAAAATAATGAATTTATTTGACCGAAATCGACTGATATCATTCCATATCGTTTAATATCTTCAACATACCCGACCGTAGCTGCAACCCCTCTGTAATGGTTGAGCTTGCCTAACGTGCTGACGCAGTCGTTTTATTGACTGAAACACTTGCTCCTTCAAGTCCTGAGATTCCAAATAGACTGGTTGGGAACGAGAAAACCAAAAGCAGAAGCTTAAAGTCTAAGGGTGGAGTCATACAGATGACTATATCAGATGGTCAGGGCAGCACTATTTCTCTTGGAAAACCAACGTCTGAGACGATCCTGCCTTTCCATGGCGAAAGGAAGCATAAAAATCCGGGCCTAGGATTAGCACACTGCACCTTACCACCCAAATTCTCGTTGCTAGGGATTCACGTCTTAAAAGTACGAAGCTAAGACATCAAGAACTACTCACAGAAAGACTGTATGACAATGCGTATTCCCGACCGCCGCCTGTTTCAACACATAATGTTTATTTGTGAAGGAGTAAGTTGAATGAAAGCCAAGGAAGGGAAAACCAAAACCATGGACATCAGTCCATGAAGTTAGTAACTGTTGGACTGAACCCTGTTAGCAGGTGCAGACTACCTGATTGGTGTCTACACAATTTTTTCTACTATCACTGCTAACATTACTAATTTTACTGCTCTGGTATTTGTCTGAATACTTTCATCTTGCTATGCTGATATGGTATAACGGATTACACCGATCTACATATGTGCCATGTCCTAAATTGTTTATGATTGATTCTTGGAGCGTAGATTACGATTACTTTATGAAAGCTTATCAGGCATTATGAATCTTAAGTGGTAACCTTATAAATATTGTGAAGAATATTCTTCGTTCATATATTGATGTACTTATATGATGGAAATTCTTAAATGGCCAGAAATATTTGCCCAAATGGTTATAAGGTATGGCTAAATTATCTGAAATTTATCGCTCTGCTAAGAAACACTTTTTAAAAGACTGTATATTATAATTAAAGATATTACATTTTAAACATTCTCCACAGTACAGTTTTATTTATTATTGAAACTAATAGTAGTATTGTGCGTGTATAGAATGTTCGTAAATAATTCTTTTCGTTTATTTCTTACAAAATATATTACATTAAAATAGAAGGAAAAAAGACAAGTTGAATTCAGGAAGAGAAATTCAAACATAACCAATAAATAATAACAATGTATTTCATAATGTTATTTATTGTTGAATACAATACCACTTTCATGATACTAATTCTTAACTTTTGTAAAATAACATTCCGAGTAGAGTAATAACTACTCGCGGATGAAGTAAGATTAGTAGTGACATAATGTATTGCCTATAAAATATGTTACTTTTATTATGTAAAGTTGAATATCGTTTAATTCAACTACTATGCTTGGGGTTATTTTCCGACGAGTGAACAGTAAGCCCTTCATAACCTTTTTAAATTATAAATAAAATAATAAGATAATAAAATAGTGAAACCACTGTTTATTTCCGTTATCGTACTGATTGTAAAAAAAATGAAATATTTTTAAAGAAATTCAATATTACATAGTAACTAATGGAAATGAAAATATAAAAAACATGCGTGCACTGATCAAAATGAAACTTATTAGATTGTGAAGAACTGCCCGACTCTGAAGTAATTCTCATCATAAACTGATAGCATCTGAAGAATCATTAAGAATTACTGTGCACTGGATGGTTTTTCACCTTAGGTCTGGATTTCTTACGAATACACACATACGACCGCACAAAAAATGACTTCCAGATCTCACAGTGAGCGTGATATATCTAGATTAAATGACTTATATTCCCAACGTCAATAGAATCAAATCATGGTTTAACAATTATTCAGTCCCACTGGCAGATAGTCGCTATATTCCAGACTACCGTGTTTGAAATGATCATACAATCTGTAGTAATATGAAGCCAACAACTCTAGGTTTCCAGACTACATTAAAAGTGTGATTTTAGCTACCTTAATTAATTAGAACGATTAGAACTTTCTTCGTGAGAATGATACCAAAAAGACAAGCACAATCTACCTCGGATTAACTAAAATTGCTATTTAGGTAAATATGAACTCTGTCCGCTTAACGGACATGATAGTCATCGATTCATCCTTAAAAGCATTTTTGTCCATAATATTAATCCTTGAAGGTTCTTAATAACAGCAGACCACGCACAAAAAGGTGTTCTAGTTGAGTGCTGAGAGAAATAAGAGCCATGAACAAGTGTGAAATAGATTTGAGATCACAAGTGTTGGAACGAGATAAGCTTCAGTTACGAAAATTATTGAGATGAGAACAGGAAAAGCGTCTATCATTTTTTAATGGATATCTACCCAGAAATAATCTCAAATTTAGGATCGCCAAAATTGCGTCATATTCCATGGTAGCATTATAAGCTAGTCTTCCACACTATTCCTCGGTAATTTCTTATATGATACAGTAGCATAAAGTCTTTAGGGTTTAAATTAACTCATTAACGAGGTACTTTAGTATGGCTCATACTCTAAGTGAGGACTAATGATAGTGATCAAATTTTCAAACCGCAGTAGAATGAAGTTCGAGCCTAGCACTAAGTGAGTGAAGATCGAATGCCTTAAGCAGTAAGCTTTCGTTCTACTATATATGGCGTACTAGACTACTTCATTGGCAAAGAAATTCTGCATTACATCGACGACTTTATGAAACATTCATAGTTTTACATTTCAAATCAGTCCCAAAATGATACTGGATTCATGTTGAATCCTCACATTCTACACATATCATTTCATTAGACAAATAACTCAAGATCAAACTTCTTTGGTAAACAACCATCAAAAGTATTTTTCAAAGTCAACCTATCTTTGCCTGTTTCTTAAGGGATAAGACGAACTATTAGTCCGCCTCATAGTTCTAAATAACAAAATATGACCCCCTCCTATTCATTCTACCAAAAGGCCAGAGCTAAGATTTAAAGTTACGTAGTATTTTAGCTTGTATTTAAGAAGGTGCATCGACATAGGTATTTAGCGGTTTCTTCTTCCCCAGTCCACGCTAAAGACTTCATATAGAAACTGTTTTGATGAAAAAGTAACAGATAGTAAATTCACATAGAATCAGCTGAAATAAATCATACAAGACAAGTCAGAGAATGCCTGCTATTGTGTCTGCATAATTTAAAATGACACACTGAGATTACTACAAACTACAACTTCAAGGAACATCCGACTGCCCGTCTAAGTAACAATAAGTGAACTGAATCCCTCTTATCTTTAAAGAATTTACTTGCCTAGCGCTCAATACAACAATGACTTATTCAACAATACTGTCTTACCACCAGTAAGTATGAGAATACTACTGTAAAGTTAGTGCTTAGCACAAAAATGAAGTTCGAAAAAC